ACACCTTAGATGCTGTTTTTTATTTTTCTTTATTTTCTCTGTAAAAATCACATTGTTTGAGCCTCACTTTTTTTCCCCTCGCCCAAAACATATAATTAATTATCGCTTTGCGTGGAAAATTTCATTAAAAACTGGTAGTTGCAGTGAGTCTGAAAACAGTTGGACAACTTATCTTTTCCACCAGCTCGGAATGTGGCGAGTGCCAAGAACTTTTCCACTCCAAAATTCACTGCCAGAGCGTCTAAGCCAGACAGACGGTGTCGAAAGCTCCAGTTTCGAAAACGAAATGATTAAGCGGAGCAAGGCCGACGGCTTTTTTGTTTAAGCCAGCCAGTTAGAAGCCGTTTGGGCCAGGCCAAGATTCCACTGCCAACCGCTGCTGACAATTGAAATTCGTATTCCACGGCGGCGAGTCAAGTGCTGCAAACAGCTAAGGCCAAGCGGTTTTGGCCTGGCTCATTGAACTTGGCTAACTCTCGCGAGTCTAGACGGCCGAAACCCACAACACCGAGTGAGTAAATAGTAACATGTGTTTAAAATGCGAAGAAACCAAAACAAAAAGCCGGGAGAGTCGCGTGCTGCTTTCAATTGATATTCCGCTGGCGTTCACGTGAACAAAACACGAGCGATTCATGGGGAATTCTTGGCTCAGCTTAATTTCAAAAATATTTATAGACAGCTGCATGAGAAAACAAGCAAAAAAAAAAAATACAACAAAATGATAAAGGCAAATAGAAAGGAAAAGGCCCACTAAATCATCAGCAGCCGAGTCAAAACAAATTGGCAAATTGCAAATCGGCAGAGTCAAATAAAATTAATTTATTTGTGTGATGCGAACGGGGTATGCCAATCCAGTTAAAACCGCCTGCACTTCATTAGTAAAACAAACCAAAGGGGTTTGTTTTGTCTGGGCATAGTTGAAATAAATTATGGAAATTATTTCTGCGAATTCTGTTTTGCGTAGATTTCGGCCTTTGTCTATTTCAGGTGATGATCCGATGAGTAAGCCGGAATTAGACTATTAGAAAGTTTGCAATATGGTAGCTTAATTATCAAAGAATTTCCTATAAATAATTGTAGATCACAAATAAATTGTTTGCATAATTTTTCCGTTAAAAATTATTACGTTAAATGGCTTTAGTTGGTTTTAAATTAAAGCAACAAGCTTTTAGTTAAAATAAAGCAATTTAGACTATAAATAAATACAAAATTAATTCGTAGTTATATTTTCCCCCAGAATCATATTAGTCATACGCCCTATTAAAATGGCTATATGACTTTTTCAACCGAAAGGTCTCCTATAAGTTCTCATAATATTTCTTTAAATCTCAGATTTTCCCATAAAATGATTATATAAGCAAGGGAGCAATTATTCCACTCATAAAAAAATTATTTTGCATAGGTTTTCCCATGTAAAAACATTACTCACTTGTTCCCAAAAGTCAATTTAGTATAATCACTGTCAAGAGCTCCCCGGAGATCGGCTAATGACTTCCGCATATCTCAGACTTTGTAAGTGGTACAGAAAAGCCGCCGTACTTGAGATTATGCAGAGAGTCATTCAGGTTGTAGATCAGGTCTGGGAGGTTTTTGAGGAAGAATAACCAAAGCTCGACTTGCATATCATATCGTAAAATATCTGATCTGCAGATATCATCACAAAAACAATTGCCAAAAGGCACGCTCGTAACACGTAAACCGAGAACCGGAAAAATTGCCGTAATTTGCCAAAAATTTCCATATCTCTCCGGCAGATGAGATTATCTTAACTGGAAGCCGTAAAGTCTCGAATTGCCCCCTGTCACACACAGATACATATTTTCTAATTAAGCATCATGGGCTGAGAGATATGGCGACAAAAAAGGAGGCGGAGCGATTAGGGCGGATAACAAAGTCCGATTGTACAGACAAGTGACACTAAAATTGGCCTTTGTTGTTCTGATTTTTCTATTTTAGCACGTCTCAAAACACTGCACGAATTGTCAGGTACTACTCGTAATACCCTTAAATTTGGGAGGGGGAATAGACGAGGCGGGACGGGGCGGAACGCAACCGCATTTGAATCGGGGCAACGCTTCGCTGGCACTGAACTTGACATTGCCGAGGTTTGCTTTCAATTTAGAAATATGTCAGCGGCACAGACTATTTCTATTTTCAGAGTAGCGCGCAACGTGCACATCACGCACTTGTTGCGCCACAAACGCAGATGCGGATGCAAATGCAGCTGCGGCAATTGGCGAGTATCTGATAAAGATAAATCTTTAAAGGGAATGACTTTAAAGTTATCTACTCAGTGGCTATTTTATTTTGGTTTAAATTAATGTTTTTGAGTGCCAGTTGTTTAAAATACACATTCATAAAAATGTATCCTACAATTTTGTATCTAATGAATTCTTAATTTATTTTGTAAACGATGATTCATCTTTAATTGATGTCCATTAATGTTTTCTACTCAGTGGATAACTTAAAATGTTTAAATGGGTATTTTTTAGGGCCTGTAGTCTAAACGCATAATACATTAATCGGTACATCTCTTCAAAGGATTACCACAATGTATTCCATACTAGATTAAATCATCTCTTTAAAACCTTTATTATCACATATTAATACATTTATAATACTAAAATATTTAATTAGTGCATAGTTAATCAAGAAAGCTTTTTAATTTGTAGCGTAAAGCATATTGCAAATGCTGACATTTTATTTTAAATAGATATATACCAATTAAAAAGAATATTACCTAATAAAAAGGTTCGCTTAAGAAATGAAAATAAGTGAAATTTTGATGTTTTGCTGGGGATAAGATATTTGTACTGCGTTCTTTTAGCCCATCAATTAAATTCATATGCCAATTTTCTCTTATAGCCATGACCAAGAATGGCCACAGCAATGCGGCTTACGTCGGCGATCATGCAGACAAATTGGAGCTGGCCGAGAAGGGTCAGAAGAACAAGGCCATAGTGGCCAAGGATCCGGACTACAATCCTTATCATCATCGCGATGTGGAGCATCCCACCACGTAAGTGGAGCTATGATTTCGAGAATATTATATATCAATTAAAATTTATTTACTTTTAGAAACTCTGAGACTCTGTTTCATTTGTTAAAGGGTTCGCTGGGAACTGGTATTCTGGCCATGCCGAATGCCTTTCGTAACTCGGGCTACGTTACGGGTGCCATTGGAACCATTGTCATTGGCTTTATTTGCACTTTCTGCATCCATCAGTTGATCAAAGCGCAGTACGAACTGTGTCGCCGGAAAAAGGTTAGTTAAGAGAAGACCCTTGATATATATATTTCAGATTAATAGAGCTCTCTTTTGCGCAGATGCCCAGCATGAACTATCCAATGGTGGCGGAGACAGCCATGGGAGAGGGTCCAAAATTCTTCCGCTTCTTCGCTCCATATATTGGCACAGTGGTTAACACGTTCCTGCTGATCTACCAACTGGGCACATGCTGCGTATACGTGGTATTTGTGGCCTCCAACATCAAGGCCATTGTGGACGCAGTGGCTGACACCAATATCGATGTGCGGCTCTGCATGATCATCATCCTGCTGCCGCTGATCCTGATCAACTGGGTGCGCAATCTCAAATACCTGGCTCCGTTCTCCACTTTGGCCAATGCCATTACCATGGTCTCGTTCGGCATCATCTGCTACTATATCTTCCGGGAGCCCGTCACCACCGAAGGCAAGGATGCCTTTGGAAAGCCCTCGAATTTCCCGCTTTTCTTCGGCACAGTTTTGTTTGCCCTAGAGGCAATTGGCGTGATCCTGCCACTGGAGAACGAGATGAAGACCCCGCAGAAATTCGGTGGCAGCTGTGGAGTCCTCAACGTATCCATGGTGCTCATTGTGTTCCTCTATGTGGGCATGGGTCTGTTTGGTTACCTCAACTACGGATCTGCTGTTTTGGGTTCCATTACTCTTAATATGCCGGAGCACGAAGTGTAGGTTTTATTTATAGTTATTTCCCTTTTTTTATAATGATAAGAATCTTCTTTTAGGCTATCCATGTGCGTCAAGGGAATGCTGGCCTTCGCCATCTACATTACCCATGGTTTGGCCTGTTATGTGGCTATAGATATCACTTGGAACGATTATGTGGCCAAGCGTTTGGGAGCCCAACGTAATGCCCTGTTTTGGGAGTACGCCGTGCGAACCGTTCTGGTTCTAATGACCTGTAAGTGACCCTTTGGTTTTATACATCTTGGAGTAAAGAGATAAAAGATTACAATTTAATTTCCTTTTAATATAGAAAAATTAGTATAAACAAACAGACCTTTTTTATCTAAAATCTGAACCATTTAAAGGATATAAGATTTTAAATAGTAATAATTATAAACATAACATAATATTATTTTCATTTAAAAGAAGTAAGCCTTTCATTTGAAGCCCCATAATTATTATTTCTATCCACAGTCCTCTTGGCCGTGGCCATTCCCAACCTGGAGCTGTTCATCTCCCTGTTTGGAGCCCTTTGCCTTTCTGCTTTGGGTCTGGCTTTCCCGGCACTCATCCAGATCTGCACGCATTGGTACCAGACGAAGGGCATCGGAAAGGCATGGCTAGTGTTGAGTGAGTATTCTATCAAATACCCAGCAAAATCCAAAAGACTAATTCCTAATCCTTACAGGCAACTTTGTGCTCATCATTGTGGGCATCCTGGGTCTGGTAATCGGCACGTATACATCCCTCAAAGAGATCGTGCTGACCTTCTCCGAGTAGTCAGCGTAGTTGTGAACCTAAATACGCCAGCGGGCATTCCAATTCAAGCGAAAGTATTATGAGCAATCGAAAGATGTTGAAATCTGTAGACATTCGCAGCGCAGCACAAATGACAAGATACAGGATACAACTCAAGATAGAGATACAGTTGAGCTGAGATCTGCTGTAAACTTCTTACTCAGACCTATTTGTTGTGTATTTGTATAGAATTTATCAGATTTGTGATATTTTTAAGCATCGTGCCCAAGAATCTGTACAACAAGTGTGTGTATATCATATATCTCTTTATGTAGTAGATAACGTCTTGATAAGTAGTTTAGTGCCAAGTCACATTTTTATAAGTCATATATAAAGAGCGATAGCAACCATATTAATAAAAATATTTTGCCATACTAAGATACGCTCTGGGGGATCTTCTGGGTGGATATATAATCTTTTAGAGCTTCGCAGAGCCTCTTGGCTCCGTCCACCAGCTTCTCCTTGGGATAGAAGGCGATGGACAATCGGAAAAACTGCTTACCCGACTGTCCATCGACAGAGAAACGCGGCCCAGCTATAAAGTAAATCTTCTGATGCTCCAGGCAGTACTTGAGGAACTCTCGGGAATCCAGGCAATCGGGGATTCGCACCCAGATGAAGTATCCCCCAGTGGGACTTACTAGCTTACAGCACTCTGGCAGTTCATCCCGCAGAACCTGCGTGGTGGCCAGCATTCGCTTCTTGTAGGCCTCATAGAATACAGCTATCTGGCTTTGGGCTAGCTTCAGTTCGAAGAGACTTCCGACAATCTCAGACGTATAATTGTTGAAGCATCCACCGCTGTTTGCAAATCCACTGCCATCCAGGATGGGTTTAAGGCGTGGCGGCATGTCCAGCCAACCCACGCGAACTCCAGGACCCAGAATCTTCGAAAAACTGCCATTGGAAATGACATGACCTGCAAAGTCGGCGTCCTTTCGATCATCAAAGGACATCAGGCGGGAGTGGGTCGGTTTTTCGCCATAGTGAAGGATGTTATAGACATCATCGCAGACCACCAGGAAGTCAAACTTGCGGGCCAGTTGCACAATTCCACGACAAACCTCTGAAAAATATAAATAAATACAACATTGTACTGATCAAATAGCTTATAATTTACAAAAAAAAAAACCCACCTGGCGAAAACAAAATCCCCGTTGGGTTATGATAAGTAGGGATCGTATAGTACATTCCCCAAAACTCCTTCTTTTCAGAATGGAAACGTCTCTTGGAAACCTGTTCCCCAAGATCTTTTAGATCCACTCCATCATCGTTTAGCTTTACAGGCACTATGGTCAAGCTAGTAAAGTGCTTTATACTGTCCAAAGCAATCATGTAGGAGTACTCGTCGACGAATACAAAACCCTGCAAGTCTATCATCGTGGAGAGAATTAGGTGGAGGCCCTGTGTAGCGCCCGTCGTAATCATTAGATCCTCACTAAAACCAAAACCACAAAGTTAATTTGATAAATGTAAAAACCACAAGAACCACATACGATTACCAGTTCATGGGGCTTTCAAACATTTCGGTGAAGTAGGTGGCTATCTCACGGCGCACCTCAAAAGTACCACTTGTAGGACCATATTGAAAAATCAGTGACTGATTTTCCCGCTTTTCACGTTCCTAAAAGAGCGTCCCACGAAAGTTCATTGATAAAGAGAGACATTGCGGATTGCGTAAGAGATCTACTAACCAGACAATGATCTGTGGCCCTTCTGAAGTTGTCGCAGTTGGAGCTCAGGAGATCGGTGCCCGGAGCACCCACGCCGAGATTGAGGATGTCGGGTTGGTAAACATTCCAGTCGCCTCCATCGAAGAGGTGCTTTAGTTTTCGATCTTGATTGGTCTTCGACATGTTTAACGTTGTGTTCCAGGCAAACTAATGCCTTATCTGTGCGCAGGGTGCTTGCATTTATAAAAAACAATGGGAAAACTTCTAACATTTTCGTGTTATACCTATTACTAGAAAAAATCTAGGGGTATGAGCTTTTTAAGAGAAAACAAACGCCAAATGTACATGTCAGTGCTCAGACTAGTAACGAAAGCTTAAAGAATCACACTAAATGTTAAAATTTGTCTATTCATAAATAATTAATTTGTACTGAGGTCGTAAGCTATTTAAGTAACTTTTTTAAACTAAGATATAGTTTTCTTTTTATTTAAATTAGAAGTAAGTTATACAAAGAATACAAAAACTTTGAGCATAAATATTTAAAATTACTTAAATTCGTGTGAAATTTATTTAAGTTAACTAAAGACATTAGAAAAACATTAAAAACAGAGCATAAAAAATTCCTTAAACCATAAAAATCAGTCAATTCGGAGCTAAATAGAGGGTATATGAGGATCGAGTTCTTTCTATTTAATTTATTTAAACACGTTTCGCTGCGAATGCCAAAAAGCCCAGTTGGAATTGTCGTTCCCAGGGAAACGCCAACAACAGCTGACTACAGCAATTACTTTGTTTTGGAAAACTCGGAAAATTGCAACTCCCTTTGTGTAAACATGGAAAAACCGACCACCAGCGCTGCTGCTGCTGCTGCGGCACAGGATCACAATCTCCTCCTGGACTCCCCACAACACGGACCAACTTTGTCCAGCGCCTCCAGTTTCGAGGCTCTGACCGGACACGACCCCAATCTCAGTCGCCTGGCCACCAAAATGTTCAACAAAACGGAGGAGTACATCACCCACGAGCTAAACGCTCCACTAGAGGATTACAAGCTGCTGGAGGAGATGAACAAGGCCACGATTGCCAAATACAAGGATATGCGGCAGATTGCAGAGAATCTGAACACTTCAACCAGTGAACTAAGCCTTAAGTTCCAGCTGTTGGCTCCAATGATGCAGCAGATCGATGAGATCTCCGATACGGTTGACAAACTGGAGGCGGCGGCCTATAAACTAGATGCCTACAGCATAGCCCTGGAAAATCGGGTCAAGGTGGTGCTCCAAAGAAAATCCGGTGGCAGCCAAGTGGCACAATAAGACTACTCATCTACAAAGGCTTTATGGTACATTTATTACAATAGATTTTATGTCAACCAAGTAATAGTTTAAATATAATCGCAATTACGTTAAGGAATATCAAGGGAACTGCAAATGGGTAGAGGGTAAAGATGAAAAAGGTTTATAGGGATTAAAATATACAATACTCACTTTTTGCCACTGTGCGTATAGAACGGATGAGATTCAGTACCTGATCCTTGGCCGTGGGTGCTCCAAAATCCTGCTGACCCGCCTGTCGTCCCCAGCCAACTGAAAAGTGTGCCAAAATTTTAACATCGTGGCATTGGGTGCCAAATATCTAAGTAAAAACTCACACTTGGCCAGGAAACGCTCCTCGTGCAGGATGCACACTGCATTCAGGCAGAGGAGCGTGGATTCGATTAGGGTCCAAAGAGTAAACATTTCTGTGCTGAATAAAGCTTATTTACATCAAATAAACCAAAATCGGCGAATAATTGTTGACGTCAGTGATGCCGACTTGCCGTTCACTGCAAACGCGGATACAGCTGATTGGATGTCTCCATTGTGAATGGTTAAATGGCGATGAATTGCGCGCCAAAAGCAAATTTGAACTCTGTTTTGTACTGTCTTTATTAACTAAAAAAATATGAACAAATAATCATGACTAATTTACATATATCTTCATATTTATTGAGCCCAAGGTAATACACCCAATGCACATTTGGACCAATCGTTATCTGTTAAAAAGAAAAAAATAATTAATTAGTTATATAAATGTCAGGCAAATTAAACCCACCTTTTTCTAGTTTCCAAATGCCTAAGTCTGAGGATTCAGCATTGCTGAAGTTATTGCCTTTACTTTGAGCTGCTTTGGCCACAAGCTTTTCCAGGTAATCCAGATTATAGTTCTCTTCCGAGGAACTATTATCCTCCATAGGTTCATCCTCTTTGAACTCATGCAATCTAATGTCGCAGAGTTTGGTCAAATCCATTATCTGCGACTTGCTGAAAGGAGGCTCAGCTAGGGGTAACAACCTTTGAAAACTCCGTATATATTATTACTGCATTTAGACTTAAAAAAATCAACCATACCCTTTGAGTATAGATGCTGAATATTTGTCAAAAGAACCAACACGCTGCATTATAAATTCTCGCTCGAAAACCCACGTTCTAGTCTTTTTGGGACAATCTCCAAAAATAAGTGTAAGGGAGGGATCCACACTTGAATGTACTAGTAAACTGCGCATAGTTTTCGATATCTGATCGGTGTTGAGAGAGGAGAAATCCACTGGTTTAAGTTTATTGTTCTAAAAAAGAAAGTGAAACAATAAGCATTGATATTTTATTAATCTCTCAATTCTACAAACCAAATCTAGTTCCTCTTTGTACATTCGTTTCATGCGGGACAGCATTCCAAAGGTTGCAATCATCTTCGAGGCCCAGTAATTGGCTCCCAGTCGTCTATCCTCCGTCTCGTTTGTGTTTTCAGTTAACTGCACCAGAGCCACAAATAGGTTTTCAATGTATCCTTGCACTGCCAATAGCCTAAAGAGTCCTTGCGTGGCTGCAACGAGAGCATCCTCGTCGTCTTCGATTTGTAAACCTACTCCAAGGAAGTATTCCATTTTAAGTAGGCAGCTGATATAAATATCCAATAGAGCCTTCATGGAAGTGGACTCCTTTTTGACGAGTGCACTCAGATCACTAACTACCGCATCGAGTATCTCCTTGGATGACTTTGCCTTCTTGCTAGAGGAGTAAACCCGAATCTTGTTGAAATCGCCGCTGGATTTCAGTTTGCTGATGGCCTTCAGTTTTTCAGCACCCTTGAGATGGCACTCCAGGGTCAGGTCGTAGATTTCCAGAAGACTGCTTACAGCTTTTTCGAACTTGATCTTGTCCTTGCGCTGTAGCTTCCCGGAATCCAAGTTGGACATGTTCTCTTTGTGGGGCAGCCAGTAGTAGGTACGCAGCCATTCCAGGCAATGCTCCGAGGTGTTCCTTAGCACTTCCAAAGGCGGCAGCTCCTGTCCGTGGGCGCACAAGTGCCGCAGATCGACGATGAACGACTGAAGCCCCAGTTCCCTGGCCGTTTCGTACATGCTGCTCATATTGTGTCCCTGGATAATGGAGGACATGAAGTTGTAGAATCGCGTGAAGGCACTGGCATAGGTGGACTGTGTCTTGGAGTTGCCTTGCTTGTCCTCCAATTGAGCCTGGACGAGCACCGAAGTGGCCAGAACAGCCGCCGGGCAGAGGTTTCCCCTGCGCAGGTTCCAAATGCGGATTTTACTGAGTGCCTGGCGCCGTTTGGCGGGTGTTGATGCTTTGCCAAATAACCAGTCATAAGTCTCTTTGAATTCCAGCCTAGAAACGTAATATTGTAATTAATAAATGCAAGTTTTTATTGGTTTGTGTCTGCGCACGTGTCTCGCCAAGGGGTGACCACAGTTCGTTGTTTTGCTGTTGCAGGCGGTGTGGCAGGGGCAGTTTTTGCTTTCTGTGGTTTTCCCTTCTCTGGACTTTTCTTTTTAGCCGCTTGCTTTTCTTTTTTTGCTACAGCCATGTCAGTCTATATTTTTTTAAAACAAATTGCAAGCAAAACAAACCGCAACAATTATGACAGTGTTGGATAACGCCACAAACTAGTTGTTCTTAGTGCTGCTGGTGTTGTCTTCACCCCTAAAAAATCTGGCTACTAGCTTTAATTTATAAAACAGAGCCTTACAAATATTTAAAATTATTTTAAAAAATAAGATTTGATTGGACTTAGTCAACAAACAATTTAGTTTAAATTTTTTAATTTTTTTCTTTCAATAATGCTTATAAGATTTTAGCTTTCTTATAAATTGGTTACTTAAAATAGTTTGTCAACACTGCCGACGTCCAACAGCTGATCGCGCCAACAAGACGCAGCCGGTTCTGTGTGAATGGTGAAATAAAAATTGGAGCCAAAAATAATAATTTCTTCTTACTCAATTGTTAAATCATTTCCCGCTCCCCCGCCAACAGAATAAATTCCACCAAAAACCCAGATCTTTTCCCCATCACAAAGGAAACAACACATGCATTTCGTCCAACATCCTGTCATAAACAACAACAACAACGTGGTGGACATACTGCATCCGGAAAATATCGAATTCGATGGGCCGCCAGCGGCGCGGAAGATGATAATTGAGTCGTTTTCGATGTTTGTGATCTTCTCGTACCTGCAGTTGCTCTATATTCTGGTGGCCATCTACTTGGCATTGCATCACGCTCACCATTAGTTCGAAATCTCTAAAGGATCATGTATCACTTTGTTTCCGAACAAACTCCGGAACTGCGGCTCTCGGCGGATGCACTGGTCACTAGCCACGTGACGCAGTACCTCAAGGGTTTCCAGCTGGAGGCAGTGCGCTTCCTGTACGATCGCCTGGCCAAGCGGGAATTCTGCATCCTCAACGATGAAAGTGGTCTTGGAAAACTGGCCACGGTGGCGGCACTTCTCAGTGCCCTCGATCCCGCCAAGAAAACACTCATAGTGCTGCAGAACGATGAGCAACTGCTCGCCGGTTGGCGGTTCCATCTGGATACACTTACCGACCTGCAGGTGTGCACTATTCAGGGGTTGCAAGGTAAGGATTTCTGTTCAAAATATTTTATTAATAATTCATATTCTATTTTTAAAGATATGTTTCCACGGAAAGTTGAGATATTGGCTTACTTATAAATTAATCATACGTTCTAAAATAGTTATTTCATGGAAAAGTTTATATTTTTAATAGTTTGCTCGTTAATTTTGTCTCTTTTTATTAAAAATGTATTTTAAAAGATTGTTAAGATTCGATTCGTATACCTTTTCTGATTAGTTATCAAAATTTATTTTTTAATATTTCGTAGTAAAATGAAATTAGGTAGTGTCGATTTTTAAAATATAATACTTTATTGCAATGTGTTTTGTTTGCTAATATAATATGTTATTCAATTGACACTTTACTAGTATAGCATCAAATAAATCTTATATTTATTTCGCAATAAAAAGAAAAAAAGGCATTGTTAATTTTCATAACATATAACTTTAATGGAAGTAGGTTTTTAATGATGTAATATGGTAGTCAGAATTTAACTGCCTTATTATCCAACCAACTCTCAGTAACGTAAATGAGTTTTTATTAAAGTTCGCTTTACTAAATGAAGTTAATTTGTTACAGACACCACTGACTCTCCACACAATGTTTACCTGGCGAAATGGAGCCAATTACGCAGCATTGGAGATCTAAGCCGCCTCAAGTTCGACTACGTTTTGGTGGACAATCGCGGGCACTCGCTGAACAACAGCTTCTGCACCTCCATGCTGCTCAAGCATTTCGAGGGACGGGTAAACATGGTTATCTCCAGTGTTGACATTACGGTGAGGCAATGGCAATGCATTCATAGCTGGCTCTCATGGAGCTTTAAATGTTTCGGTTCTCCCATTCACAGTCCGATGTGAAGTTGCTATACAATGTTTTGCGGTTAGGTGGCCGTCTGGAGCACCAGTACCGAAGCTTCCAGAGCTTTGACCGCAAGTTCCACCTGCCAGACCCCAAGGAGGTGTTCAGCAAGCGCATAGATCTCGAGGAGTACTACAAGCAGCGGGGATTCCTCAGCGAGTATATTAAGTAGGTGGCCCAGTTTCCCGCTACAATCTTATCTGTAGATAATTCTGTATTAGAATTCTCCAAAGAGCTAATTTTCAGTGCAGTGATTAACACATTTATATAATATATTTTAGGGACTTTCGTCTGCGTCGTTTCCGTCATCAGTTCGACAAGAGCCTGCCGCTCGTCGCACCGGAGCAATACAAGCACAATCTGAACCTCTGGTTGGCCTCAAAAAATAGCCAAAGCACGCTTAGCGGCTCATCGGAAGTTTGCTCGACAATCGCTTCCCTAGAAAACAATCCGGCTCTGCAAAATGAAACGTTACCGTCTGAAGACGCGGATAAACTATCCGATCACAGCTTAGACGATGTGGCGGCCATGTCACCGCTGGTCTTTGAATCCTCCGATTCTGACGTTGAACCTATTACTGTGGATCCGTCAGACGATCAAAATCAAGTCCTCATAGTTTCCAGCGATGATTGCGAGATTGTGACGCCTCCAAACACACCACCAAATCGAATGCCCACGTCAAACGAATCACCAAGAATGAAATCCAAGAGGAAATTCAGCAAGCGGCAGTCGCCACAGAAAAAAGCAGACCTCACCGACTCGGAGGATGTTGATGAAGTGGTCGAGGTGGCTCCCAAAAAGATAACTCGCGCCGCAACACTTACCTTTACTCCAAAGACGAGAAAGCTCAATGTGCGACTGCTAAGGGTTTCCATGGATACTTTGAGTACACCACCTCCGGCAAAAACTGCTCCTGCGTTTGCCACGCCCAAGACAGAGCGCTCAGTTAGAAGGAAAAAAATTAAACTGCAACAGGTCAGTCCAATTGATACTGGCCGTCCGGTCACTCGCGGCATGCAACGCTTAACACGATCCGCTGAGTCCAAAATAAACAGCAAATACTTAAAGCACCACACCCTGGACGATGTCAAGCGGAGCACTCCGAAAAGAAACAAGGCTGAGGGAAATCAAACGCCCAAGACAAGCAGGGTGAAGCAAGAGGCCAAGGAAAAGATTGTAGCGCAGCAGGAGAAGGAGAAGGTAACCGCGGCCAAGCCTCCTGCGCAAGAAACTCCCAAAAGAGGGGTAGGTCGTCCAAGGAAATGCAAATCGGAACCTGAAGCATTAAAGAAATCCAAGCCAAAGCCAAAGTTCTTGCCGAAAACCTTGCCTCCCACTCCGCAAGTGCTCAGCGGTAGTTCCTTGTCGTCAGAGTACATGCAATGTGCTCAGCGAATCCCAGACAATTTGGATGCCATAGAGTCTCCTGCCTTTCGGGTGCCCTTCACCCCCCAGCAAACACCATTGCTGCTTACCTTGCCGTCTGCTTTCAATTTGCTCAACGACTCGGAGATGGTGGCCATTCCGCTGTCCAGGGAACAAGCAGAAACTGTGGTGATCAATAGCTCCCACGATGAGAGTTCGCCGCAGGATCCATCGCAGAGTCGTCGCACCAAGGCTTTGAAAAGGAAGCGCAAACCGGAGGCGCCTGTTAGTTCCAGTTTTGGTGGCGGCTTGGGCTTGCCACCGCCCAAGAGAAGTGCCAACAAATCACCGGATCTGTTCAGCATCTCATCGGATCTCTCGCAGATTCCTCTGGCACAGCCGCGACCCGCCTCTCCGTTCGAAGGTTTCAAAATCTTTGGCTCCGAAGTGAAGCAGTTCCAGCAGCAGCATGCCAAAACAAATGTCTCGGGGCCAAAAAAGAAGCGCGATCGCTCTTGTTTGGATATTCTGGAGCAAATGTTTGAGCCGCGAGAGAAGCGACCGGAGAAAAGCAGTCCCAAAGTGTTGCCCACCTTGCCGCTGCCGCTGCCGCAGAGAGATGATGTGGCACAAGCCATAACCCAGAGGAGAAGAACCCTGCTGGAAGATGACTTCTTTGAAATCACGAACAATGGCCAGTTTGGCAGTCGAATGAGGTTGAATTCCTCCGGAGATGTGTCACCCGTGCAACAAGATCAACAGTCCGCCAGGCCCACGCAGGCCAATAAAATCACCAACTACTTGATAGGTTCCGGTTCCGGAATCACCCAGGAAAAAACGCAGCCGCAGTCCACAAGTGGAAATCGCAGCGCCATCGTTGCAGCGCTGCGGAAGTCGCCCAAGTCACCGAAACAGGCGGGCAAACCCACTCAGGCCACCAAACTCACCCGCTGGTTTGGTTCCGTTTTCGGGGGAGGCAATTCACAGACCAGCTCCGTGGAATCGGTTAGTGCACCAAGTACACCGGTGAATCCCTCCACGAGTGCAGCAGCCTGTCAAACGCGATCAGCGAGGAGTGGTGGAGCTGCAGGACCGACAAAAAGAAAGCGATTGGAACTGTTCAAGTGAAGAGCAGGATAAATACACCATTGAAAGGAAAACGTTTACAATAAGTTAACTAAATTCAGGTAAAGTCCGGATGTTTGAATCAAAGCCATGTTTTCACAAAACGATTTCTTAGCTGAGTTTTAAATTTATACTTTAAGGTAATGTTATACCTTATACAAAATTAAAATAAGAAGAAAGCTAACCAATCGAATCGTGAAAATACAGCTAATATTATTTAATCAAAAGCCAAGAAACAGTTAACTTGCGCAAAAGACTTTTTTGTAGGTTGTAATATCAAGGTGGTACAATGTTAACAGTAGAACATTACGCCCATCTGAGCAATTAACTAGCCAATTTAGTTAAATTTCTATTATATGTACACATTTCGAAGCTCACTTTACCATTAAATTAAAAAGACATTGAACATTATTAACTATTGTTTTTTTAAACCTTTTTTTTATCAATATGAAAGTGTAAAAGTAGATTTTTAAATGAAATAAGACGAAAATAGCGCATGAATAAATTGCTTAATTCAAGTAGAAGTGGGCAAATTTTAAAAATGGATATTATTTTAGTTACTCGTTTATTATTGTTTAGTATGTGCCCGCCATTATTTAGGCAAGTTTTTTAGTTAAATTATATTTTTTTGAGATAAATACATTATTTTGTTATCTTCAAGACATTTTTATAAGAAATAAACTATTATATATTTGAGGGTTTAAATTCAATCAAATATTTGTGTGTTTCATTAAAAAATAATTTTGTTATAAAATGAACTCGATTTGGCAGATAATTGGCCAACATTTTACACTCGTTGCTTGCCAAATATGATAGTTAAGTTATGCATCACCGCCTGGCGCTGGAATTCTATTTCACGCCGGCACATGCTGCCCAAAAGTGGTGGACACTGGTACTGAATATTCTCTAGGGCGAGGGTATCACCATTTGAGTTTCTGAAAATAAACTCGCTAATGGATTGTACTGCAAAAAAGAGTGAAATAAGATTAGAATGGCTTTAATGAAATATGTTATTTGTCTTACAGCAGTAGAATCCCTTAAAGAAGCAGGTCTCATGGGTGGATTTAATGGCATAGGCCACCGGAGTCACTCCGGGCATTGTCTTGGTAACCACGTACTTGGCCGTAGCCGTATTTTGCCAATACGGCCAGTGGGAGAGTTTTTCAGTGTACTGCACCGTATAGCGCCAGTCGTGGGCATGTCCGTGATCGGCTAGGATCTTAAAATTTAAGCTATAAAAAGAGAAAAAAATTATAAATTAATAAGAAAAAGAAAATCAATAAATACAATTTATTTTGTATAAATTTTTAAAATTTATCCGACAGCAAAAGAACGTCATCACTTTTTATTTTTGGGTTCCAAAATAACCTTATTTATGGTTCTATAAACATGTATGATTCTTAAACATCCATATGGTTAGAAATAGTTCAAATTTTAGAAACGCTATTATAAATCAGAAAATCATATAAAGATTAATTATGTTTATTATCCCTATTTTGACTTTCAGCTAAGCAAGAATTTTATTATCTTAGAGAAAGGAAATAACTTAATATAAGAAGATAAATTCTTTCAGAAAATATATAAGACCCTTTAATAATCGGGTCGTATCAGATTGTTACTCACATCGTGGGGTTTAGCAGCCGCATCTTGTTAAAATCCGCCACATATTCCCAGACCTTTTCCGGCTGGCTTCGCTTGATAATGCCCTCGATCTGGTATTTCTGATAGCCGCTGGAGAAAACGAACACATAGAGCAGCAGGGCGGCGCTGAGGAGGACGGAAGCCCGCTTTATATTCCATAGACGGGGACTTTGCATTCTGTGTTCTGTTCTTCACGGATTTCCAACTTCGACTGACTGTGTGTATATGTCGGATTTTTCGAATTTTAAACAAACATGTGCTGGAGAATTCACCACAAAGATTCGGGATACAGCATCAAAGGGGAAAGAGCGGGAGTTCCATAGCGAAAAGAGAAAGATAAACAAAAGGGATCTTTAAGAAACTAATGCGTACGGAAAGCAATAGTTTCGTATGACTCTTCTCCAAAAGAGAGTTTGCTTAGTACATGGAATGATTATAGGTCTCTGATGCATGTACTTCTTGATAAAGGAGGTTTCTCTGGCCAAAAGAGCTGTTCCTAATGGGTCTTGAATTACTCTTTAATTTTTCTAAAATGTCTAGGTTTAGAGTTAAAATTTTAGGAAAAAAAGAACGCTTGTCTCACCTTTAGGCATTTTATAAGGGGGAAGGAAGAACTATTTGCCAATATGATGGAGAATATTGGTAGAGTTATCTTTACAGGGGGTGAAAATTAAATAATAAACTTTCGTAAAAAGAAAACTATTTTTGTTATATACCACTTTAAAAGAGACAAAATATTTACAAGGTATTCCTAAAAGAGGTAATATTTTAAAGAAACCAAACCAATAAAAAAAAACTAAAAAACTTAAAAGAAAGAGCATTTAAATGAGTATATTTCAATAAGGTACAGTAAGGCATGAAGTGAAATGCTGTTAAAACACTGCTTCATTTTTGCCAAGCTAAGCAGTTTAAAAAGCTTTCGGAGGTCAAAGCTCTTGAGCGTGAGCCCCCTACCCCCATCAGCTCCCCATTCAACCCCCAAATGAGTATTAATGCTGCTTAACACTGGCATTAGAAAGCTTTGGCGAATGGCGAAAAGCTGCATTAGAAGCTTGCTCCATATGATCGCCACTTAGTTTATAAACAACGCTCGCCGGGTGCAGTCGGAACCCTCGGAATCGGCGATATATATATAGAGCCACAAGAACGTGAAGCAGCGTGTCCGTAAGCATATGTAATTGGTTATCAAACCGGACCGCGACAACGGATCCCTAATTATCTCGTACCCCCCGCAAATTGCGGCTTACGTAAGCGCCAATTCAATTGTGTTTTTACTAAAACACAGGCGTTTTAGCAGAGCATAGTCACATTAATCAAAACTAAAATGCGGCTACTGGCCAGACACGCGATTCGACTTTTGGGTCAGGAGAATCGAGGTGGAGGAGGAGGAGTAGGTGGTGAGGTGGCTTCACTTTGGAAAGGAGGAATCCGGCTGAAGGCCACAACCGGTTACCTGAAGCTGGCCACGGCAAGTGTTCAGACTCAGCCATTGGAGCCGGAGAAACAGGTGCAGAGAAAGGTGAGTACTCACATCCACTGTAACTCCAAATGATTCAATTTCGCTAAATATATTTGATCTTACCCAGAATTCTCCCCTGACGGATTCATTTGGCCGACACCACACCTATTTGAGGATTTCTCTAACCGAACGGTGCAATCTGCGATGTAAGTCTACCCCCAAACACCTATGTATGTTTTCATCCTTATCAGTTGTTGTTCCCACCCATTTGATAATACTTGCTATGAAGTGGATCCCAACCTTGATTGAATAATGTGGCGAAATTCGTGTCTCACACAAGCCCATCTACGGTCAACATGGTACTTATGTAGCCCCATATTTGACCTTTTTTTTACCAAATTAGTACCGATGATCTAATTTGAATTTGGGGTTCTATTGTAGTTGATTATTTGGGCAACAGCTTTTGATGTCAATTACTGACGGCAAACAACAATTCATAAATGATAACTTAATGATCATCAATCGGTTTCCAGAAAGTTCCACACTTTCATTCATTAAAACTACACTATAGGGAAACCCTAACCTAAACTTTGAATCACAAAAGCCCATTTCATTAGTATTCGTTAATAGTAATTAAAAAATCGTAATTACCTCTATTGAAAACTGTATACGACAAACAAGTTTTATATGGAAATTTAAAATAAACTTGAATTAAGGGACTTTGATAGAATGTATTTATAAAAATAGTTTAGAAATGTTTTATTTGTTTTTACCACCGATATTTTTATTATTTCAACAAGTTCCACTGTGCTCGTGTATTATGATTCTATGTCGATCTTAACTAACAAAATCAATTTGTTTAGGTGACTACTGCATGCCCGCTGAGGGAGTTCCCCTGCAACCCAAGACGAATCTGCTGACCACCGAGGAAATCCTTCGTCTAGCGCGTATTTTCGTCGAGCAGGGAGTGCGAAAGATCCGGTTGACAGGAGGAGAACCCACCGTCCGAAGGGATATAGTTGAAATAGTGGCACAAATGAAGGCTCTGCCGGAACTGGAGCAAGTGGGAATAACAACCAATGGCCTGGTGCTCACCCGCCTGCTTCTGCCGCTCCAGAGAGCAGGATTAGATTCACTAAACATCAGTTTGGATACGCTGCAGAAGGATCGCTTTGAGAAGATCACCCGGAGAAAAGGCTGGGAGCGGGTGATAGCTGGCATCGATCTAGCCATTCAGTTGGGCTACCGTCCCAAGGTTAACTGTGTCCTTATGCGCGATTTCAACGAAGATGAGATCTGTGATTTTGTAGAATTCACCAAGGATCGCCCAGTGGATGTGCGTTTTATAGAGTACATGCCATTTTCCGGTAACAAGTGGCACACAGAGAGGCTTATTTCGTACAAGGACACCATGGAAATCATCCGTCAAAGGTGGCCGGATTTCGAGGCCCTTCCAAATGGACCCAATGACACATCCAAGGCTTATGCTGTGCCCGGATTCAAGGGCCAAGTGGGCTTCATCACCTCCATGACGGAACACTTTTGTGGGACCTGCAACAGATTGCGACTTACTGCGGATGGAAACATCAAGGTGTGTTTGTTTGGCAACAAGGAGTTCTCCCTGAGGGATGCCATGCGAAACGAGGATGTATCGGAAGAGCAGCTGGTGGATCTCATTGGAGCGGCGGTGCAGCGCAAAAAGAAACAGCATGCAGGTGAGCTACGATACCAAATCCAAACGTAGATAGTCTTCAGACCTTGGTCCTCCTTTTGCAGGCATGCTCAACCTGTCGCAGATGGAGAACCGGCCCATGATACTCATTGGCGGCTAGTAGACACACCACACCACATTCTCCCCTCTCTCCCGTTGCAGATGCTGCGCCGCGAGTCCATCATCATTATCATTTCCTGCATCACCAAGCATATCATCCCTCGAAGCTGCAGCTCCAGGTGCGCAATTGCAGCCAACTCACCCATGTCAATGCCCAGGGCAAGGCCCAAATGGTGGATGTGGGCGCCAAGCCGTCGACCACAAGATTAGCTCGGGCCGAGGCCACTGTCCTGGTGGGCGAGCAGCTCACCCAACTTATAGCGGCCAATGAGCTGGCCAAGGGAGATGTCTTAACGGTGGCCCAACTGGCTGGCATCATGGCAGCCAAGCGCACATCCGAATTGATACCCCTGTGTCACAATATCAGCTTGTCCTCCGTGAAAGTGCAGGCCACTCTTCTCAAAACTGAGCACTCAGTGCGGCTGGAGGCATCGGTTCGCTGCTCCGGACAGACTGGCGTCGAAATGGAAGCCCTAACCGCTGTTTCGGTGGCCGCCTTAACTGTCTACGACATGTGCAAGGCCGTGTCGCACGACATCTGCATCACCAACGTCCGCCTGTTAAGCAAATCCGGCGGAAAAAGGGACTTCCAGCGGGAGGATCCGAAAGGAGGAGCACTGCCAGAGGTCGAGTGAGGGGATGTACTGACTGACTGGATTAGATTTAATGTTATGGCTTAGCCATATATAGGGGAATGGAAAATCATATACTGCTTATTAATTTCACATAATAATTTCCAAGTCTGAAGGACAAAAAATAACTACATTTAAAACACCATTGTTTACTGCATTTATGATATGCTAGACTTGTTCTTTTCTAACTTGTATGATGTAGTAATTTGTATTAAAATAGAAAAAATATGTCAATTATGATTTTAAGTTTTAGTTAATGTTTGCAAAATGAATTGACTAATGTAATAATAATAAAGACATAAAAAATCTTTAAAATAGCTGGATCTATCATTACTTTACTATTATGTTTTAAAAGTATTCAAAAATACAAACTGATATTTCTGAAAGTTAATAAATAGCTAATAAAAAACCTCATTAGGCAGCATTGTAAAAAGAGAAGTTTTCTGATAAATTCCTCCATCCAGTCAGTCAGAAAGTTGATCTGATCTCCAATGAATCACAAGTCGAATGATTAATATCTTACTGAAGTTTTAGGTTTCGGTTCTCTTTAATTCGTGGCCAGAGTGGGTTAAGTTTAAATGAGGGAATTGATGGATAGTGTTGGTGTGAAGGTGCGATTAAGGGCGTGTCGCGAACTGCGCCTTACAGCTAAAAGTACATACAACATTAGAACTGTTCAGTAAACGCGGATTATTGCTCGCAAATCCTGGCAGAGTTCCCTCTCAACATAGACACAATAAATACGGTGTGGTGAGGTAATCAATCGCTCCTAGTTGGACACCAGGACATTGCGGTTTTCCGCCTTGTTCTCGGCGTCCGCGCCCTTGGCTCCATCGGCACCGAGGTGCTCGCCCCGGATCTTGATGTTGTGCTCCTCCTTGAACTTGTTCAGCTCGCTGCCCTTTTTGCTCAGGTCGTCGGTGACCATGACGATGGTCTTGGCGATGAAGTCCTTGTTCTCCACCAGCTGCGGCAGCACTTCCTTCACGGTTCGTTCGCACAAGACACCGCCAATTTGACGGAAGCACTTGCGCTCCGGATCCGCCGCCTGCAGAGTTTCTATCACAGTCCTGAGGGTGGGGGGAATTATGGGGTTATTGTGGGGTTTATACAGATGTAAGCTCTTATCTCCAAAGTCTGAGCAGATGGCCAACCATCATCGGTGACTCACTTGTGTTCCCTCAAATCCATCTCCAAAGTATTTAAACTGTTGGCCAGGTTGCGCTGATCATTGCGCAGCTGTTGGAACTGGGCCACAATGGCCTCCTGGCTGGGCGCCGCCTTCGCCGATTCGGTACTCATCGCGTCGCTCGCTCCCCAAAAGGACTCCTTCGAAAACTAGATCTGGATACTCGCTCCAAAATTGCGAAAATCTGCGATTTTCTTTCAAAATAAGTCGGCGAACACGAGGGCGATAGAGCTGGAACAAAAAGTCTAATTCTATTCGATACAATCGATTTTCCAGAACCGTTGTCGATGACGTTTCGCGGTGATTGTCAAATTTTAATCGATAGGCGATTGGAAACCATATGTTGCCGACGCTTAACGGTGAATGACAAATTTAAATACACGTGCAGTTGTTTCTAGCCGATTTTAATTTACTTGATGCTCTTAATTTGTTAAGTTGGTTAATAAAACCATGCCGGCAGCAGTGGCCACAGGTGTGCAATTCGGAGGACCGCCCAGGAACAAGAAAATTGTGTTTGATGATTCTGGCGAGGCTGTAGTAAAACAAAACAAAAAGGAGCACCCCCAAAGGCCAAAAAATGATGGCAGGGAACAGGTGAAAAAGCAGCAGGGAGGTAAACCCTTTAATAAAAATCAGCATAAACACAATAAACCTCAAAAGGCAGAGTTTACTGAAAATGGGCAACAGGTTGCTTCCAAGCACTTTAACAAACATCACCAAAACGGTCAAAAACCACAGAAAATCAAGTTTGGCGAAGATGGTGAAGCTGTATCCCAGAAACCATTTAACAAAAACTACCAGAAACATAATGGTCAAAAGTCCGATTTCGCCAATAAACCACAAAGGGTTAAGTTTGCTGATGACGACGAAGAAGTATCTCAGAAGTCCTTTAATAAAAAAGCTGAGGAGGTAAAAAAACCACAGAAAATTAAGTTTGGCGATGATGGAGAGTCGTCGGAAAATTTTAAAAAACCCCAACGGATCAAGTTCGATGAGGATGGAGCTGGAAAGAATGTCTCCGATAGCGATGGAGATAGTGATGAGGAACTGGGACAATCTTTTTCCAAAAAACACAACAAATATCAGTCAAAACTCGATGAAGATGAGGAGTCACAAAAGAAATGGTATAATGTGGTATGTTTCTACTATAACATTAATAAAAGAATGGTAATTTATGGCTGTAAAATTTGCATTTCAGCATACCGATTATCCATCTACTGATGAGGTGCTGGACATGAAGGAAAACGATCAGCTGGAGCTCTACAATCTCTGCAAGAATTCCTTCGAGACGGAGAAGACAACATTCAATAAACGTAGGCTATGCTGGGTTAACCAATGGTTCGAACTAACATTAATGCATTTATCTGATCGTTAGGCAACCCCACGGATGCCCGCTGGTTGCAAACCGCTCTGCACAAGGGTACGGCCAAGGATCGGGCCAATGCCGGCGCCCTGCTGGTCACCAGTAATCCCCTGGGCAACCTAGAAGCCCTAACCACACTGATTGGGTTCTGCAAGATCTCCAACAAGGCGAGCAACGATGTGGTTGCAGTGCTCACGGATCTGTGGCAGGAAGTGCTCCTGCCGCCCAACAGAAAACTCCTTGCGGTGCACACTCGTGGAGCCGATTGGAAGAAGCTGAAGAAGGATGAGAAACTTCGCAACGAGCAGAAACGTCGCATCTACGCGTACTGGCATTTTGAGAGCGAATTGAAGGACCAGTACCACGAGTTTCTCAAGAACGTGATGCAGGGCTTGCAGACAGGGCAGGAGCACAATAAGAACTCTTCCATTGTGGCCGCTGCCAGGCTGCTAGCCTACGCTCCCGAAAAGGAACAGCTACTGCTGACCATGCTGGTGAACAAGCTGGGCGATCCCATCGCCAAGATTGCCTCCAAGGCGCTGCATCATCTCAGTGAGGTGGCCCAAAAGCATCCCAACATGTGCGGCGTCATCGTTTCGGAGGCGGAGAAGCTGCTTTTCCGCAACAACATTTCCGAGCGGGCGCAGCACTTTGCCCTGTGTTTCCTCTCCAGCATCGCACCCTCCGGCCGGCCCGAAGTCTGCACCAAGTTGGTGAACATCTGCTTTGCCCTCTTCAAGGTTCTCGTTCAAAAGGGAGCCGTCAACAACAGGACTATGCAGGCAATCCTGAGATGCCTGCAAAAGGCCATCGTGGAGGCGCAACCGGCAAAGGACAGCAACGGGGAGCTGCTGACCAAGGAAATGCAGGACACCATCTACCGATTGGTCCACTTGGCCGACATTCGGGTCGCCGTTCAAACTCTGGGATTGCTGCTCCAACTTGTTACGGTTAAAACAGAGAAGTCGGATCGGTTTTACAATGCTCTGTATGTGAAACTGATGGACTTGAACCTCATCAATGTGGGCAGTAAAACGGCGGCTCACCTACTGCATATAGTCCACCGCGCCATCCACATCGACAACCATGTGGCCAGGGCTCAGGCGTTCGTCAAACGCCTCCTGCAGCTCACTCTCTACGCCCCTCCGCATATTGCAGCTGGCTGTTTGATTGTCATTCACAAGCTGCTGCGCATGCGGCGTGAGCTCATCGGCGGCACTGGAGCTTCGGAGGAAGTGGAGGCCAGTTCCAAAGTCATGATAGCAGTGGATACAGATCTGGACAAGTTTGGAAGCGATGAGGAGGAGGTTTACAAGGATGTCACGGAGACGGCGGACGTGAATGACTCAAATCCAGCGGAGGTAAAAGCGGAAGATGGTGTCAAATCAAGTGCCTCCTCCTGGCATCATGCCAGTGTACCAGCCACTGAGTCCAAGGTGCGGGAGATTGATTCCTGCAAGTACGATCCGTACCATCGCGTGCCCGCCTTTGCCGGAGCCGGCTATGCGCTCCGCAAGGAATTGCTGCTGCTGCGCCAGCACTACCATCCCACGGTGCAGGTTTTCGCCGAGCAGATCCTACAGCGTGAGTACACCATTTGGCTCTCGCCCAGAAAAATATAATTTAACTTTTCCTTTCCCTTTCCGCAGAATCACGCATCGATTACTATGGTGATCCGCTAAGAGATTTCGGTCTACCTCACTTCCTGGAGCGCTTCGCCTTCAAGAATCCCAAGAAGTTGGAAGCTCCGCAGGCGGCGGAAAGTGCCAGTGTAGCCCACAAACGCTACATGGCTCACGGGGCACGTGGCAGACCAGTGAAGTCTCTGACCAAGGCCAACTGCACCGAGGACGAGATGTTCATCTTCAACTTCCTGGAGCACAAGCGCCGGCAGGCGGAGATTGTGGCCCAGAACAAGAAGCAAAAGGAGGTGAAGAAGGATGAGGCGGATGGTGATGGTGAGGATGGCGAGGCTGGAGAGGAATATCTCAAGGAAGGCGAGGTGGATGACGATGAGTTTGAGGCCTATCTGGATGGGTATTTCGGCAAGAAGTTCAAGGATGGCGTCGACGAAGAGCAGGACGAAGAGGAACTCAACTTCCTGCAGGAGCTGGGCGGCGAGATGCAGAAGGAAAAGTCCAAGGATAAGAAAAAGAAGAAGCAGACAGACAAGGCGGAAGAGGACATGGAGGACATAGATGATGATTGGGGCGATGATGATTTGGGAGACGAAGACGATGAAATGGAAGGTGCTGGCGAAGATCAGTCTGATGATGAGACGGGCTCCATTGACTTGGAGCCACTGGATGACGACGATGATGACGATGAGGGCTCGATATCCGAGGGCGGCCAGGACGACAGTGATTCCAGCGATGCTCCGGATAGTTCAGATGAGGACGACGATGACGAAGATGCGCCGCCCAGGTCAAAGAAATCACGCAAGGAACCCACCGACATGGTGGGAGGACGTACCTTTGCCAAGACCCTCAAACAGAGTCATGGTAAGATAGACATTGACCTTACAAATTTTGTAGTTAATCAACTATTTCTAATGATTTTTCTTCCATCCCTTGTAGATATGTCCTCATTGTTTGCTGCCGCCGATGACTTCTCTTCGCTGTTGGAGGAAACGGCCAAGGTTAAGGGTCAAGGCACCAGCAATGCCGTTTTCAACAAGGACAAATCCTCCGACAAGCAACTGAAGTGGGAGGAGAACCGGCGATCGAATACGAAAACCTACAAGGGCAAGAAGTTTCCCGGCAAACCAGCGGCCAAAGGTGGCAAGCCACAGAAAGCGGGCAAGAAGCGGAAACACTAAACTGGTTACGATCGTAAAACCCTAAATGTTTAGATGTGTAAATACACAAAACGCAAGATTAAATATTTACATTTTTCAATAAGTTTAAAAGACCTCTATGATTATCATTTGAAATGCTTTATTTTAACTGCATTTTGATATTGGTTTTATGTACAAACTTTGGTGACTTAATCGCTAGCAACTTTTCATCAAATTCATTTGTATACCTCGATTGATCTTCGAAGCTAAACAAACGCATTTCGCTTGGTTAACATAACTACTCGTAATCCGTATAACGCTTTGGCCGAACTATAAAAATCGAGTTCAATACGATTTGATTGCTTTATTCTTACATTTAACTAGTTGTCCCCCTTGGTTGTTGCTTATTGGTTGTTGCCTCCTCTGTAGGTAGATTGGGTAGAGCCTATGGTCTAGAATAGCTCTAGTGATCTTAAACTACGACGAATTGCCAATTAGCGCGCCTATAAAAATTCATGCCAAACTGTCCCTTAATCGGGTTACGATTTGCTTATAAAATGTAGGGTTTGTTTAACTTTTCGTATTGCGACTTCTTGGAGTTTTCTCTTATTTTTTTTTGGGTTTTACATTTGTGTGTGTTCTAAGGCAACTTGTTAAAAGGCAACTTTAATATAAATGTTATTTGTTTTATACTAAAATTTACACCATGATTTTTAATATCCTTTTCAATCGACGCTATGGCAAGTTTACACAGTTCGATATGTGAATTGGTTTTGTTATTTTGTTTTTGTCAGCGGAGGGGTTTATGTGGCTGCATTAAAAGCATTAAAATAAATACACAAAAAAATATACAAATCAAGAGAGTTTACAATAATGTAATTTTTTTAAAGTTTATTTAGATTTCATCGGTTTCCATTGATTTAACTAACTTAGTTACAGGTTATGCGGCAAATTTAAACAATCAAAAATACTTAACAAAACAAATATATTGGTTTTCCCTTAACAACTCTACGACTATTTTTGTTTCTTGATAATTTTCGTGTGCAAAAAACACATTTTTGGCTCGGCCTCGAAAAATAACTTCGCAGTTTCATGTGAAAATGGTTCTTCGGGCGTTGCTTCTTTTTCCCTTTAGGTTTAACTGAAATGATTTTAACGTAGTTAGGAAACATTGCCATGTTCAATCGGGATCAAATGGGTTGGTTAGCTTATCCCGATTGCAGACGGCAATATATACTGGGCGGGATTTTGAGTTAGTTGTTGGGTAGTGCTGAGAATGCAGCGTTAGGAATAAAAAATATAACTTAGTATAGAGCACAACTTAAAGCAAATGTTTGTGTATATGGGGGCTTGTATTTCTTCTTCAAAGTCTGGCTTAAACATAATTTTGCACTAAACTAATTGCAAATCGTAATAATGATATTAGTGATTGTGTTCTGTTGTCGGTATCTGTAATCGTTTCGTTTCAATGTCTTTACCGCTCTAAGATCCATGCAAAATGTTGCCTTTGTATAGTTTCCGTTTCTTGTGTCTGACTTTTTACATTTAGGCTATTGAAATAATTAACTAGCACAACAAATCGCATATATAAAACACTTATAAGGACGTTGCGGTCTCCCCTCCTTTTATACTTATGTGTTAAGTTGGTTTCCGTTTTTCGTGTGGTCGAAAATGGGGTTAGCAAAATGAGTTATCTCAACTTAGACTAATGCATAACAAACTTGAAAATAATTATTGACAGGATCTTTGGTGCATCTTGCGGATCCTTCCACTCATGCTCTCGATTGTTTAAGAGGGTTGTTGTTAGTGGGTTTGTTGTTGGGTGCAGAACCCCAAGGGGTCTTTGCCCACAGTTTTGCCCGGGGTGTGGTCGTCGTTGTCCTGGTAGGGCCATTGGGTCAATGTCTGTCGTCAGCTGTACATCCGTGGCCGTCTGAAGTCGCCCTCCCACTGCAGCACCGCTTGCAGTTGCTCCTCCTTCTCGTCCAGCGGCTCGTTCTTGATTTCCACCACCTCCAGCACGTCGTCATCGTCGTCGTTGTCATCCTCATGTCATTGGAACACATACCGCTGCCGCAGCGCCCGCGCCCTCTCCGGTTGCACTCGCGTCGGCGGTCGCGGCACCTTGGGCTCCCGCTTGGCGCGCTTCAGTTGCGATTGCTTGGGCCGCGGGAAAGTCAGCGGCTTTTCGTAAGCAAAGTCAAGCTTTTCCAACTTAATGTTGGGCAGGCAGTAGACGCGGCGTTTCTTCTTGAACCTATTTTTGAGCACCTGCTGCACTCCGTTGATGAGCAGACAGAAGTGTCGCCAGCTGGCCCTCGACTTACGCCACGAATTCGCAGTCTTGCTAAAACCATTGAAATTCTCCTCTCTCTGCTTAGTGGTTCCGAAGGACGGGGGTAATGTGCGTACGACGCGTTGGGTTCTCTTCGGGATGCGGGTCACCTCGACGTCCGCAGGAGGCGGCAGCTGCTGCATCAGCAGCCGCAAGGACGCCTTGCTGTCCTCCGGAGGGGCGGTGGTGATGGGATGTAGCAGCTGGCTCTCCGTGCGACGCTGCTGGCGCGTTCTGGGCCGTCGAATGGCCTGTATTGATTCAACTGGAGCCGGAGCTGGAGGCGGTGGCATTTGTTCCTGATCCTCCTGCGGCAGAGGCAATTCGACGTAGTACTCCGCGGGAAGTGGCAGAGGCGGCAAATCCTCGTCGAAGCCGTAGAAGTCTGTCGGACACTCAAAGACCGGGTCAAATCGTTCGTGGACTACCAAGTCTTCGTCGTCGAACGGAGGAGCAACTGCCGCAGTTAAGGTGGCTGCATTGGTTTTAGATTCGCTGGCCGGCACAGTCTCATCCATTAGCAGAGTGATGCCCTCATCCTCCGCTGACTTGTCGAGCGTGGATTCGGGCTGCTCCTGCTCGGCTAACATACCTGACGACGGCTGCTCCATTGTGTCCTCACTTAGGTCTACCACCACCTGCTGCTCTGGCGGCACAATGATGTCCACATCCGGATCGTTGCCGCCGTACTGCAGCCACTCGCTCTCTAGAATGTCTGCCAATGTAGGTCGATCGGCCGGATTTCGCTGCAGGCACCAGCCCACCAAATGCCGGAACGATGGACTTGCATTCTCCCAGCGCTTGGAGCGCTGATTGAACGTCTCCCGGCGCATTCGCTTGCGTAGCTCGTGGTGGGCACTGGCGGAGTGGTCCACATCGTCCAAGTTCTGCCTGTACGGCTGATGACCCACCAGCATGGTGTAGAGAGTGGCCCCAAGTCCATAGATATCCACCGCTGGCGAATAAGTAACGAGATTCGCGTCCGCAAGCATTTCGGGAGCAGCATAGTCCAGCGTGTAGCGTGGCTTGTCCTTCCAGCTCTGGAAACGATTGTTGTAGCTGTCGGTGGAGAAAACAGATGAGATCAGTAAGAAAAAATAAAACCCTATAGTCGATTGTCTTACCAGGCATTGCCAAAATCGACCAGTTTGACGTTCTTATCCTCCCGGCTTTCGAACATGACGTTCTCCGGCTTCAGGTCACCGTGTATAAAGTGCTTGGAGTGGATGTGGCGCACAGCCATCACCAGTTGCAGAAAGATCTCCCGACACGAGTGCTCATCCATACGGAGGGATGCGGTCAACTCCTCGCCACACAGGTACTCCATGATGATCCAAGTCTCGCACTTGTCCCTAAACGTTCCGTGGTAACTAACGATGTTCTTGTGACTGTTTGTGTCCAGGGCACACGAGATTAGTGCGTCCACCTCGGAGGGACGGAACTTGGACAGCGGTATGACCTTGGCCATAAAGACCATCTCCGAGGAGCTGTCCACCACAAAGTGGCAAGTACCATAGGCGCCGCTGACGGTACGGGTGCCCAATTCAAGGTCATCCGGTCGCGAGGGTATATTCTGCAATGACAGGATCAAGTTATTAGTCATGGCTCTCAATTGGTATTGCAAACTTATCCCACCAATAGTCCTGGATTGCAGTATTGGATCTGACAGTGGTTATCCCGTCGCATCTGCTCTAAATGCTCCGGAGCTACGTAGGTGTAGCCACGGAAGAGACGAATCCGACTGGGCGGCGCATCGCACTCGGGATCTTCGGGAACTTGGTCGGTGAACTCGTTGCTAAAGTTCTGTACATCGTCCTCGCCGGTGAGGGGGGGCTTGTAGGGAGCCTTGCGGCGCTTGTTCCGCAACTCCTGCCAGTTGATGCCGTGGAAGAAGGGATGCTCCTTGATCTCACTGGCGTCCCGATGGTTGCCACCCAGCCGCCGTTTAGGGTTCTTCTCCAGCATCTTCAGCACAAAGTCTCGGGCATTGGCGCTGAATGACGATGGAATCACCGGCTGCTCCTTCTGAATCCGTCGAGAGATTTCCGACTGCTGACTCTGTCCATCGGACGTGGCGAATGGCGAGGCGCCGGTAAGCAGCTCAAAGGTGAGCACACCCACCGACCACCAATCTACAGCACTATCGTGCCCCGGTGGTCCCGTCCGGATGATCTCCGGTGCCATGTACTCCAGAGTGCCGCAGAAACTGTGCGCTCTATACTCATTCTCCGCCGTAAGTATTTTTGACAGTCCGAAATCGGAGAGTACAATGTGCCCTTCGCCATCGAGCAGAATGTTCTCCAGCTTAATGTCCCGATAGATGATCCCCAGCTGATGCAGCTGCTCCAGGGCTAGCACCACCTCGGCTATGTACACCCGAACTCGAGACTCCTCAAAGTGCTCCGCATGGTAAAGATGCGTAAACAACTCTCCGCCATTAGCAAAGTCTAAAAGTTGAAGGCTTTTAATTAGTTTTGCTTTAAATTAATTATAGGCAGCATCTTACCTAGCACCAGATATAGCTTCGACGAGGATTGAAACGCGTAGTGGAGACTCACGAGGAAGGGACTGCGCTGAACGGCCTCCAGTACCTGAAATTAAATTAAATAACTATATTTAATATTTGTTTAATTAAGTTAAAGAAGTGGCATTGATTTCTTATTTATAACGATATCTTTTGGTGTCCTAAACATATTGATAGTTCGTGCTACCCAATATAATCGGCTCTTATCATCGTTTCATCGCTTATCACAAAAGTTCGATTTTTTTTTGTTTTTTTTTTACGCAATTACCGCTTGAATGCATAAATATGAGTTGTTTTTTTTACCTTTGCATTTAGTGCACTTATATTAGTTGTTAATGTTGTAAGAAAAAAATACAAGAGAAAAAGTGAAATCAAGTACTTTGAAAATAAATGAATAAAATGAATGTCTTTCGCTCTTTTCGTTCAGATAAAAACTTTCACATATTTCGTTGGTTTGCTTATACAGCTGCGGGCAGAGGAACAGTACTTAAAATGTTTGAAAAGCCTGCAAGTTTTTTTACTCACTTGTTAGAACAATATTTTATGGAAATTTTTTTTTTTTTAAGAGCATTGATTAACGTAATTTTAAGGCTTTAGTTTCTTTCCTTAAATTATTTATTTGAAGACCAATAAAAAATGTATTTATATAAGAATGGAAAGACTTGAAACAAACTTTCATAGTTTTCTTCAAATTTATATAAATAAATTGTTTCAATATGTTTTATTCACCAAGCGCTAGAGTGAGTCCTTTGTCTAGAGATTTAACTATATTTCACTCTGCAAAGTTCCATTTGTTTAACCGCCACTGTTTATTCCTTTCTATTTTAGCCACCGCGAAGCGAATTATAGACTTGTCGAATCGCAGATAGCCGGCGATGTTTGATAACTGGGTTAGTGGCACAGGTATTGTACCTTCAAAAGTCAAGTGGAAGGAGGAGGGGGAGGAAATGGTAACAGAGTGTCACGAAAATAGCGCATGAAAACAACTTAAATGCATAGCGCCCAATTGTAAATTTGTTTAAGTTATCTGCCGCTATTGCACCTACACCTGTTTGCAGTTATTTAACGCATTTTGTTGTTTCTCCCATTTTCTTTTCTGTTTTCATTGATTTACTACGACTCTCGTTGACGGAGAGAGAAAAAAAAGACGAAAAACCGGTTGCAATAGGGAGCTCCAACAACATCCACTATTGATCTGAGCAGGAAGCTCTCTTCAGTTCTAGCGACTCTCTACACAGAAAAAAAATAATTTAATGATTTCAGACATATTACTTGAAAGTTCAAATTGATAGGTACAAAATTTTGAATCTTTATTGATCATTTAAACATAAAGTTTAATATAAAAATATTATTTATAAAAGTGAAAAAATAAACCTGCCAGTCTCTGTATACTTTCTCCTGATTTTTCATTAACTATATATCAAAATGAAATGGAGGGGACCCTAATTCGATTTGTTTTTTTTTTTCGGTGTAGACATGTAAATATCCTCTCTTTTGACTTTGCTTTTTGCCGGTGCACCAAGAACAAGTCCCTATGTGGGTCACAAGAACATTTCTCTTCCTCTCTTCTCCCACTCTGCCCCTTTATGCTTTCCCATTTACTGTCTTCTGCTTTTTACCGATTCGCTACTGGAAACTGTACGTGCGACTTTGAAGGTTGTCAAATCGCTCGACGGGTTTAATTTCAATAAGCTGCACTTTATTGTCCGTCATTAAAGTGAAGAGGAATCCAAAGTAAAAGAGGTTTGAAAGCGGTGTGATTGCAAAAACATCACGCAGCGGTAAAAGGTAACGGGAAAAAAAAGTAAAAGAGCTACCCAAAAGAAAAGGTCTTTTAAACACGTTTACTTTGCAGTCGTTCTGGCTGAAAAATGATTAAAAGGGCTTTATCGTTTTACAGTACAGGTATTGTATCGGTATTGTATAAGTGAATATAAATATGTTGCATGTTTTCCTTTTTTCATAAGCCTAATTTGTTCGATTTATTTTAAACTTTAACCTTTTTTTATATTGAATTTTTAATATTTAGAATAAATCTGTATTTTTTGACTGTATTCTAATCTGCACAACAGAAAGGTTAAGTTATAAAGATAATGGCTTTGTATAATGTAGAATTCACGATAAGGATGTTTGAGCTAGAGAATCTTAATTATAAATACAGTCTATTCCAATATATTGTGATGAATTACCTTTAGTTCTCATAGTAAAATTGTTAATACCCTATTTATTATTCCACCACTTACCACGCGCTCCGTTTTAGTGTGCTCGGCGGTTTTACGCTTCTGGACTACCGTTATCTTATTGAGAACTTTCATTGCATATAATTTTCCGGCATCGTGTCTTGTCAGCTTGCGAACGAGGAAAACCCGTCCGTAGGCTGTTGGAAGAAAGGAAAAAAAAGTCAATAATTGTTGATTACAAACACCACATACAACTTTTACTTACCCCCTGTTCCAAGAACCCGTATTATTTTGAAATCGTTCAGACTGACGGCCTCGTCACTGTACAATTTGACTGCGAGGGAGGAAAAAAAACACATATGTACATATTAGCACTGTAATCAATACATTCATAAAATATATTTACAAATTTGCAACTGAAACTAATCAATTTACCACTGCAAACCAAGTCATTTCTCTCTGGGAGAAAAGACGATAAAAAAAAGAGAATGCGAGAATAAGTGATACATATTAGTATGTGTAAGATATTGTTGGAGGGCGATAAAAATAGTTGTTTGCATTGTTTTACTTAACACATGTGAGGCGAATTATCACATTTTATTTTTATCGCCACCGCAGCACGTGTCGGACACTTGATTTCGCTTTTAGAGACATAAGCAAGCAAGTGGAAATTGCAATCCGTGATTATATGGGCATTTTAATGGGAAATTCCATCGGGTGGCTGGCTTAACAGAAACTTTGTTGACCACAGTCTGCTCATATAGAAACACGCTCAAGGACACGGCAAAGAACTTTTCTCACTTAAGGGAAAATAGAGATTTTCTGTACATAGACAAATATTTCAGGCTCCTTAGAAGGCATATGCCATAGGGCATAACGGTTCATTGGCCCGAATGTCTCGCCACGGGATTGCACAGTTTACGATTATTACAGGGCTCAGACAAAATAAAAGGGATTTACAGGAGCTACAGAAAAACTTCGTTATAAGTAACTAGATAAATTAATATCTATATATATATATATTGAAAAAAAAAATATATATGTATATATAAACTCTCAATTAGGTACTTAAACTTTAAGCAGCCAAACCTTATACATATATCATTTTAACACAAACAAAAAAGTAACTTACTTTAAAATATATCCTTTTATGTTGATAAGTAAAAGTAAATTAATCATTTTAATGCATAGAAAGCTATTATGTAAACTTAAGTTCAGTCAGTCAGCAGACGTGATTGAAAGCTTTACCTTTCTAATCAGCAAAAATGGGAATAGTTTTATTTTGTAGCCTTGAGCATTACCCTGATAGGCACTTAAATTTAATTATATCAAAAACTTAACCAAATCGAAAGGCCTATTTATCCGCAGTGACCACTGTAATTCAATTTGGGTTGCCATAACATAAAACGTCCCCAAGTGACTAATTTGGGTGGTCAAACTCATCCTACGCTTTGTGTAGTGAGTCAGACGAACCCATTTAAACCCAACTTCATCCCATTCCAAAAGTCTGAAAGTGTGACGTTTATAAATGTGAAATTTGGCTGTTACTTTGACAAATTAATCCTAGCCACAGCAGCAGCTTGGGAAATTGTCCTTGAACTCCAAAGGACATTCTGCCAAATTCAGTGCAACAGAAGAAAATGTCTGTAACATTTAGTTCAACATTATTTCAACATTACAATCTATCTTCTCGTGCAGTCAACCCTCGTGCAACGAAGCCATCAAAATTTCGAGTTGTTGTGAAATCAAGAAACATTGACACAAACTTCGTTAGGGGTTAATGGAATCGAGTTGCTCGGTCGAACCTGTTGTATTATTTGAAAATACAACTTGGTAACAGCAAGTAAATGTAATTTGCGCGAAACACCAGCAACGCACAATATGACGCGTGTCGAAATTCTTGAAGGGGTGCAACGAACCCAAAACCTTTGAGTGGGTGGCAAATGATGGAAGGCAACTTTTCGCCGAAATTATTGATTCAACAAGAAAAAGCTGGAGAGATGGTGTACAAATTTGTTACCCGACGAGGGGAATCACTTGAAAGGGCGTTGGGAATCTTTAAGCTTGCCACAAAAGTGGCCATTAGAAAAATATCACTTTATAGTTGTATTTGAATAGCAGTCTTATAATCCATTATCCTCAAGTATTGATTAAATTTGGTTTTTAGATTATAAAGTCGAATTCAATAAGACCTGTAAATTCTCTACTAATTTTTGAATACAAAATTTCGAATGTATATCTTCCTTATAAGATGCTTTTTAAAATATAATTAAAATGAAATGAAAATTAACCGAAAATTTTAAAAAATGTCATAAGTAATGAAGTCAAATCTACTTCCAATTTAAAATTAATTATATAATGGATATAATTTGCTTTAAGTTATCGTTTTGTATATAGTTTTTAAGGCTATAAAACCATTTTTAAAGGTTCACATTTCTTATAAGTTAATTAATGGAACATTTACTTAAAACAAGTGTTACTTTTTCTTATGTATTTAAACACCGACCTGTTTGGAAGCATGTGACGTTGAGCAAATTGGCCTTGATATGCATTATATACTCTTGCCAGGTTCTTAAACCGAATAACCGCACGAAAAATATATATATGCTGTGACTAGGCAAAGTTTAATGAACGCAAAGAATATGAATATCACAGACCGCAACAAGTGGAGAATGGATACAAATATTTTCGTTTTTTTTCTGCCTATCAGTCACAAATGAAAATTGTCCCACAAGAAATTGTTAACTGACTTCATGTATTTCTGCGACTTTAAATGTTGTATAAAACTGACAATTGGCTTTCCGTATCTTAAGGCTTAAAGGAACGTATTTGTGTTACTATATCTGTAGCAATACATGAAATACCATTTAATGGTATTTTCAAATTTATTATCATTATTTAAATATCTCTCGTATTTTTATTATTACACGGCTGGACCCGCCCGCTGCCGTGACAGTGTTCTTGTGATAATTAAACACCAAGCAACAACAAACACAACATACCTATCAATTTGCAGGCAATTATCCCTGAGGCTAACTCGTTCCGCCACCTTAACACATATCTATGCTAGATGTTCGGCGAGTTGCATTGTCAAGTTCAAGTAAATAAATTGCCTACAAACAACAACCAACCGTTTATGCAAACAAGCATATTTGTGAACACAGCAAACGCGCACATAAAGCGATGCACATTCATACAAATGTAAGTACGGACATGGTCACTGCCTCGCGATGTATAAAGTCATACAGTGGTTTGAAACAAAGCCATACTTTGAAAATTCCCCAATTTAAAATAACCATCTCTTTTTAGCCTAAATGTTTTTAATGACTTATTACTTATGCTCACAATATTTATTAAGAGTTGTATTATTCATTATTATTACTACTTATTAAAGTTCGACTGCTTTCTGGGACTATTTTGAAAAAGGCATTTTAAAAAAACCTTTGTTACTTTTTACGAGAACTACTTCTATATGAATGTGTGAAAATTTCCATTTCATTGCACGTAGCGAACAAATAAATACAGCCACAAAATTTAGTTTTCATTCCACTGTTATCAATTGAGTCTTTTGGGTGGTGGATATTGTGTCTACTTGATGTATATAGTGTGGTGAGAAGTGAGTACGCAGGCGGGTGTGTTGGGCGATTTTAGGGGAGGTCAGTAGTTTTGGATTTGGCCCGAAGAACGAACAAAGCCGGGTTGAGTTTTCTGGGTAATTGTGTCAAGGTTGAATGCATGTGCTCCACTTTTCAAAGGACGCCAGAGACGGCACTCCATTCGGCATTGACCAACTGCCAGACTCTCCGCCTCCTTTTCTATCAAACCTTGAGAATTCCCTTGTTAAAGTCAATCAATTACTTTAGCCCACTTGTCTGATAACCATAGTTTCTTGTGGCATACTAAGTCATTCAATATTCACGGATTTTTATTTGGAAAATTTATCTGTTGGACTGATAGTTGGTTTGTAAATAACCAAGTAAAACGCTTGTGCTGAGCTCAGAAAATAAAATACATTAAATGACCACAATATCGGAAATTTTAACCAAATCTATTGCAAAAGTTTCAATAAACATTATCAAAAGATAAGAAACTACCACTATTTGAACTATATGAACTTTAAACTAGAGATACAACTTTTAGAAGATGTTCACTTTTTTTTGTCGGTTTTGAAAAAAAATGATGGGTACAAAACATACATATATAAAGACTCAAGTAAGGGTAAACTTAAATACATTTTATGGGAATACAAAAATGAGATATATATATAGAGTACCGAAATGGAAATGTATCTTGGCATTTCATTTGTTATCTAACTGGTGTTTGCAGCGCATTTGCTATTATTTTACTGTCATCAAGGGAAACCCCCTGGTTGAGTGACTCACCATAGGATCGCAGATCGGTGACCGCCTCCAAGTCCCGTTGATGCGCCTCGTTGTCCAAATCCAGGGGCGTACTGTTGCTGGTGGGCATGGCGTAGGAGGGCGTGGCCGAAGACGAGGCCATGGATGCTGCTGCTGCCGCTGCTGCTGCCGCCGCCGCTGCAGCAGCATTATTGGACTTGATCTTCGACTTGCTGGGGTGCGAGTTTTCGATTTCTGTCCCGTTTGGTTCCTCTTCTTCCGTATCCTGGTCATAGTAGTCTCGATCCGGATCCCTTTCTTCGTCGCTCTCCGCATCCGAAATGCAAACTATCTCAGCCACATGTGTGGATGGTGGTGAAGGAGGTGTGGGCGGTGATATGGTATCACGATAATTGTAATCCCTGCCAGAAGATGATGTCATCTTACTGCTGCTATTGTTGTACTGCCCATTTGTGGCACTTATGCTGTTGTTGTTATTATTATTATTGTTATAGACCAAGGACTTTCCAGACCCGGAACCAGAACCCTCTGGATTCGGTTTGGACTTTTTGCCATTGGTCAACATATCAGATTTACTATTCTTCCGCTTTTTGCCATTGCCATTGACCACGAGATGGCCATTTAGATGATTTCGCACCACCTGATCATGATCCCCGTCGGATGGTGACCCCAATTCGTGGGCGTTCTGCTGATTTTTGCGACGCGACTTACTTGGGCCGCTCAAGCTCCCGTACTGTTGCTTTTGCAGGCGACTCATGGTAAATTCCTTCGCGATTTCCACTCTTCTCTTCTAGATCCCAAGTGGTTTATACTACTCTACGTACAACTTACGTAGTCAAAAAATAATCCAACAACTAACAAAAATAACTTAAAAGGTCAAGTGACTGATCGTGTCGCATCGTTAATCTGGAAAGTAAAAAGACATTTGGTTTAGTTAAACATAAAGCAGATAAACAATAAAAAAAATTGTATAGTTTTTAGATTATTGACATAAAAATAAAGGACACCTTGCTATTTAGGTACATAAAGTAAAGTACTACATTAGTTAGCTTATGCTATTGTTGGTTGTTCCAATGACTATACATTTTTTTCCGTATAAATACCTCCTAGGAGACATCCCTAGGAAACATCCCTCATAATTCAATTATTTAACTAGTTATTTTTTAGCATTTGGCAGTTTTTAAGTTCACAACATTAAAATTTGGTTATTTTGATCATTTTAGATTTGTTTTTCTTACAATTAAAAAAAATCTTTCTAGTTTAGTCTTTAAAAAACAAAAAAAAAAACTTAAATTTTACTGAGTTCCTATGTTTTTTGTAACCAAATTATACTTAAAAGGCAACATTAAAAAAAAATACTGTTTATATTTATTTTCAAATAAACAGAAAAACAAATAAAATTTGAATAGTGTTCAAAACCCTTTAACCAGATTTTTACAGATTTTTTATGAACCATGATTAAGGTATAAAACATATAGATGTTCTGCTGTTATTGTTTTGAACCCTGTTGTTTATCTTATTGCATTCCTCTTAGGCGATGTTCACCGTACCCTCCGCATGCCATTGCCCATACCTATTCCCATCCCATGTTCATTTCCATTCCCATTTCTTCTTCCACAATATGGTACAGTTTCAGCGCAGGCGGGAGCACTTTTCCCGCTGCCAGCGGGCAATTGGATCGGGAAATTTGTTTTGGAACAAAATAAATACATATGACTTCGGCTCACCTAGCGACTGAAAATAAGCGCAATATAATAATGCAGACGTAGGAATCCAAATCCGTGTATGTGTGGGGGCGGAGGGGAAAGTGTTGGATTATGCGTGGGGCGGCAGCGATGTGCAACACTGAACGTTCCGATGATAATGCGGACCGATTTTTGCAGCACTGGCGTTGGCTTAAATATTATTCAACCAATTTGGTTGTTTTTTTTTCTTTTATATTCTGTGTGATTATCACAATCTTTATCAGCCGCGCGTTTTGCACTTCCACAGTTTTTATTTTTTCCACCGTTCTCTTTACCCACTACTACGTACACATATGCACACGCACACGCTGGCACTTTCTGTATCGGCGACTGCGTTTTAAAGCGTTTTTGTTTTCGTCCGCCGATTCTGCTCCTTGGCGACTGTTGCTCTTGTTATTCAGGGATTTTTTAATTTCCCTGCGTAAATCAATTCTTACGTATTTTTCAATAAGACATATCTTTTTAGATTAAAATCCGCCGTTTTTTATGGGTTACACGCAAAGGTTTTTACCGCCGCTTTCTACTCGTTCACACACACACACACTGAAGCGCGGGACGCTCTCCGCCATCTGCTTTGCGCTCTCATTCGTGAACACTTATTAGCAACGTCCACCTTGATTGTAATTTCCACTCGATCAGTGCTCTAAGTTCCTAAACCGAATCCGGCCAATTCAACGGTATGTTTTTATTTAGTTGTTTTAGACCGGATGGCTGGCGTTTTGGGATTTCTCGATTCGAACACAAAACACGACCACACGCAGAAATTTTTCCTTTGCTTTTGTATAGTGGTGGGGAAACTTCGATGTCAGCATCAATGACATCGATTTTTCAAAATATCGGTTATATCGATGTTTGGCAGGGACTATCGATGTTTATCCATCCATCTCTTTCTCTTTCTGTTAGTTCGACGTTTCGCTAACATATCTCTGTTAATTCGACGTTTCGCTGACATTTCATTGCAAAACACAAACCGACCACAAGCACGCAAAGGATTTTGTATTTTCAGATTTTAAAGTTGTAATCAGAAGAAAAAAAGGCAATAAATAAAACACTGTTTTCAGATGCAAGTCAACAATTTCGAATTCTTAAAAGAGAAAAACAACCATCATCTGTAGTAAGAAACTTTCTTTTAAAAGCTGCTTTTACTATTTTTCATGGCTCTCAAGAAATTCAAAAACCATTTTATTTTTTTCCGGAAAATCTGTGACTTGGAATTTTAAAACTTAAAAATGACAACTTTTCAGAATAAATACCAATTTATTTGTTTTTATTGTTAATTTAAGGTCAAGATCAAAATCGTTATTATATCTAAAATGTAACCATTATGTCCGACAAATTCTTTCTTTTCAAATCTGGCACTGTGCAGTCGTCTTTTGGATAACCCACCGGCAGAAGGATTAGAAGTTTTTCATTTATGGGACGCTTGAGCAGGGATCTCAAGGCAGGGCCGCAGTTCAAAGGAGTTGTGACCAGGGACGAAAGTCCTGCAGCTTGAAGAGCGCCCAAAAGGATACCAGCCGAAATCGAAGTAGATATCTCGTTGTAATAGTGTCTCTTCCGCCTTCCGTTCTCCGATGACCCATAGATCTGCTTGAAGATCAGGATGAGGTACGGGGCATCTGTGAGGTAGTCCTTAACATGATTGGTTTGCAGGGGTCGAAGATCTGTGACCCACTGTGGATGCATTCGCTGGCTATAGTTAATAAGCTCCTCCTGCTCCACAATTTCTTTGATGGATTGTTTTATTTTTGGGTTCTCCACGACGCAGAATGTCCAAGGTTCTGTATGAGCACCACTTGGAGCGGTTCCCGCTGCCCGAATGCAGTTCTCTATAATGCTGATATCTGGTTTTGGATGGCTTTTAAAGGAGCGAATGCTACGACGCCCTCTCATAAGTTCATAGAAGAGTTCCGCACCATTTGAATTGAGATTCTTGCCAGGCACGTACGGCACATGGGGCTTTTCCTCCAAAGCAGGCTGTAGCTCATCCTCCAGATCTTCCAAATCTTCGTCTGCAAAATGTAGTAATTTTTAATAAAATTTAAAAAATTATGTGTATAATTAATCACTTTTTCGAAAAACAGCTTGTTCTTTAAGGCAGAAGAAACTATATAATAAATTAAGGCTTTACAATATGAATATTATAGAAGTCAATATAGGTTTTCCAAATCTCCGGAATTAAAGTATAAGTAATAACATTGGCTTTACCCAATATAATTTTAATTTCTTTGGTTTTCGACCACTTTTCCAACAGAACAGTTGATTAAAGCACGAAAGTGTTTTAAGGTATGATACAATTAATTTTGTAAATGTATAAAAAGTAGCTTACCCTCGTCTTCCTCTCGGTTCTCCAGGGTATATCTCTGGGGTCTCTGCAGCTCATCTTCCAGATCTTCCAAATCTTCATCTGCAAAATGTAGTAATTTTTAAAAAAATTATAATTAATATTTGTCCGAAAAACCAGTTTCGAACAGTTTTCCAACAGAACAGTTGTTTAAAACTTGAAATGTATAAAAAGAAGCTTACCTTCGTCTTCCTCTCGGTTCTCCAGGGTATATCTCTGGGGTCCTCGATTCCATTTGTAGAAAGCATCTTTGAGGATCCAAATCAGAGCCAGGCCAATAAGAAAACTTGGCCAGTGTTTGAGCAGCTTAGAGTTGCTGATCAGTTCGTCCACCTCCATGGCGCTCCAATGTGTTACTGTTTATGCGTCTGAGAGAAAGTGGTAATGTAGCTCGAGCTGACTTATCTCTATATTAAGTGGGTCAGGGTTATTGCTGATAATAATGTGTTGGTTTTGGTTCCAGTTCAGCTGTTGTGCCGGCAGCAGTAGGGACAGTGACTGCACTTGAGATGGTCGCAGATCCTCGAGATGCCTTTTTCCTGGGACTTTTTATCCGATTTCTCCGAATCTCGAGAGGGGCGTTTTTGGGGCGGCATTGGTCGACGTGGTCTATTCTGAAGCCTGGTTTTCTGGGTAGCCAACTGCCTTTTGTGAACCTCCCTCAAAATCTCTATTATCCGCCACTTGACGTCTTGGTATATGAATTCTGGGGCAGTGGCTAGTTCGGTACGGATCATATCACAAAGCATCCGCAATTGTTGGTCCTTTTCGGATTGATCAAAAAGTTTATTTTCGTCGGAGATAGGTGGTTGGGGAGAGGATTCGGGGGCTTCTACCAGGCATCCGGGCACACAACCCAACTTTTCCGATTGCCAAGGGCAGGGAACGGGTTTTTGATTAGATTCAGGTTCTATTTCCCGACATTTGGGTATTTGGGGCAAGTTTTCCGATAGGCGGGAGCAGGTTTCTCTTTCCTTACATTTTGGCACACAAGGCGTATTTTCCGGTAGCCAGGGACAGGCTACGTGCTTTTGGGAGGACTCTGGTCTAGGTTCCTGACCCTCTGTCGATCTTTCTGTTTGGCAGCAGCAACTGAACCCGGTGGTTTTCAGATCTCGCTCATTGGCATAGAACGAAGATTGTGTGGACACCTTGGAAATGGATCTGTTTTGGGTGGTATTTATGGACTCATGTTCCAAGGAAGGTGGAAAGGTCACCTGCTGCTGCTGCTGATCCTCTTCTTGCTCGCTGATTTTTTCCTTTTCCAAATCCTCTTGCTCACTGGTTCTTTGTATGTCCTTCTGCTCCTGATCACTAGATTTTTCATTCTTCTGATCCTCCTCTTGCTCACTTTTTGATTCTTTCTCCAGTTCGTCGTTCTCCTGATCTTTCTGCTCAGTAACCTCCGCTTTCTTTGGATCAACCTTCTGAATATCTTGTGCTTCTTTCGTATTGCTTTTCTTGCTCTTGTGGAAGATGGACAGGTGGCCGGGAAACGCAGCTAAAGGAAAACTTGTAAAATTGTTCAGTTTATGAGACAATATCTCGGTAGCGACCGTTTGGTTTTTCAGATCCGTAGAAGAAAGTTTTCCGGCCGTCAGCAAGATGGGTTCACTGCCAAGAAAATCCTTGTCAGTGCGGAGATGAGGGACCAAGAAAAGGAACTCCTTGTAGTAGCGAATCGAAGGCGTCACAACTTCTCCGAATTGCCGACGTCTCCTTTCGATAATAGTATACTCCTTCTCGAAGAGATTTCTCAGCTCCTCAAGACAGGATCTCAGTTCCGAGCTGGTCTTTCCTGGAAACGACCTCGCCATATAGCAATAGCAATCCTCATCGACCTCTTTGTTGCCGTAGTATGCGTTTTTTGGGTTGTACAAGTTCTCACACTTGCAGTACAAGCGGATTAGCTTCCTGATATCCTGTTTCCCTAAAAATAAGTGGTTGCTTTTTACCTGATCCTGATTCTTGACCTTTCGGAATCGTTTTCCAAACAAAAATGAAAGGAACCCTTTTGTTTTTTTGTGTTTCATGGGGGGATCATGGTTTCCAGGGGATCCTGGGCTTGCTTTAGGAACTCCTGCCTCCAGGCTGTCGATGGAGTTGATCTTGGAGGAGCGGGTACGCATTGGTGTCATCGAACAACTCGAAACGGAACGCTTGGAGCAGCAGTGCCTGTGTCTTAGTGCCATCCTCCGCGATCTGGCGTTTTAGAATCGTGACATTCGGATTGGCGATGTCTTCAGCAGACTGAAAGTTCATTAAGGGCAACAGCATTATAATCTAACTAAATTTTATAGCATGATATGGAAATAAAACTTCTGTGATTCAAAGTGTTTTTTTTTTGGGTTTTTTTGGATTTAAAAGTATGTTGTGTTGTCAAAGTAACTGATTATCCATTTGTAAAGGTATGTACGATTTATGTATATGAAAGTTACATTTTGGGAAATTTTGATTTGAAAAGAAATAAAGACGAGTTTTAGAATAGAAAAACAAGTCGATAATTTAAAAACTTGAAACAGGGTTAAGTGCTGGAAAATTATATATATATATATATATTTATATAATTTTTTTTTAAATGTATAATAATTTTTTTCCAACTTAATTTTAAATCATTAAGCCTTAAATTAAATACTGATACACAGTAACAATGCTTCAAAATATTTAAATGGTTTTTTGAATAACAAAATGTAAAAAAATCGGTGTTAATAGATTTCAAAAGAATTTTCCCAAAAAAAAGCTTACAAAAATTGTAGCTTTTAACGGTTTTTAATGGGCAACGTCAACAGCTGTTTTTCTATGCAACCACTTTACAACACCGACGCGGAGAGAGAAATTGAGCGAGCCTTGGCCTTACACCGAAAGAGCGAGCGAGAGACCAAAACAACCAAAATAAGTTACGTGAAATTATAAATAAAAAATAAGGAAATAAACGTTCAGTGGTGGATCAGTCAAATACAACAAAGTCAGCGCTCCAAAAACTAGCAGCACATTTCAGTTTTCGCCTCGTGCCATGTGAGCAACTTTAAATTTAAATCGGATCGGAAATCAGTTTGTGCGGTGCGGGTGTGCTAATTAGCGGAAGAAGGCAATTTATTAAACGCGAAAAAAACCCCACAATAAAAACTCATATTTCGACACGAAACCTAAGTTAAATCGCCGTTCTGTCGAGTTGTGCACCGCACCAAATGAATGTGCAATAAATCAATGAAGTGGGAGAGGAGCAAGAGGCAGAGAGACGGAAGCAGCGCCAACAACAGAAGCAAGGAGAGCAAGACTTAACGGGACACCTAAAACTTATTGGCACTACGAGATTTTCACGCTAGTTCTAGTTTAATAGCTCAAAAAATGGACGAAGTTTTCAGCCTGCACATGGATAGGCTGGACGTTTACGACGGTAAGTAAGTGGCTTCCGGGAAATTCTACTTAAAAGGTAGTTAAATGTTGAAGCAAATTTTACTTGTATTATTGTAGAATACCAATTTAATCATTTGTAACATTGGGGACTGAAATTTATCCTACAGCAAAAGTATTTTAGATTTTGTTTTTGAGTAATTACTTCCGCCCTGCATATGTGAAACCACATGATTCATGTCAAAAATACGAAAATGTTTACTAAATATAGTGATTCCATAACACAATAAGACAAAATCATAAGAAATTTTGTTTAAATGTAATACATGAAGAAAGAAGTAAAATAAACTATAATTTGTTCTGGTACATACATCAAAATTAATACAGATATCAAATACATTTATAAAAATAGGTTAGTTCTTTATTTATTGTAATTTTTAAGATTTTAACATTTTTTTTTTCTTGTGAGTTTCAATTAATTTCAAGTTTGCATTTGTCATTTTGATAACTAACACTTTGTGACAAAACTGAAAATAATGGATGGGAATTTTAGTCATAAGTAGGTAAAACACTTATGGTGATAGAATTCGAGTGATTGCACCGATTTCGTTAAATAGTTAAAACTAACATGGTTAGATTTTTGTTAATCCAGCTTAAAAGTAGGTAAATATTATAAAGTAAATCAAGAGCAGCTCCTCGTTAGTCATTGTCATCTGGATCCGGGCCAGCGAGTATCTCTTGGATAATGCGGTGTCCGTCCTCAGTTTTCTCGCCCTGAATTATCAGATCCCTCAGAGTGGATATATGTTTTTCGCCCTGCTCTATCTTCACTTTTAAAGCGGCGTTCTCCTTTCGTAAATCGTCGATGCGTTTTTTCCGTTCCTCGGCCGATTTCTTGGTCTTCTCACGAGTGCGCTGTACAGCCTATTCCGAGAATAATAATAAATCAATATAGTTGCAGCTATTTTTGGGTATCTTCTGGGGGCCCAGAGCAACATGTTTCCCAATATCTATAAGTGTATATGCTCTCTGTTTACAAGCGAAACACTTACCTCATTGTTTTTCTTTCTTTTTTCTTGGTACGCTGGATCGTCTGCCCGCGGACTTAATGGGGAATCGCCGTTTTTGCTGGTTGACGCCGCATTTGCAGTTCTTCTTTTGGCTGGCATTCTCTCCGTGATAATATTGATCTGTATTTAGTTTAAATTCGATTTAAAACTAGCAAAAATGCAGCAAGAAACGCAGCGACGTAAATGTTGTTGTGAAATTACACGAAAAACAGCTGCTCATTATCGGACCAGTGTTGGAAAGGGCGCGCTTCTCACACTGCCCAGCAAACAAATACTTTGCGGTATTATTAAGTTAATTCAAAATCTAAATTTAAATTCACCGAACAATAGCCCTGGAATGTTATTCAAAAATGTCATAAGCCCGACACTTTCATTTGCTCAGACGTTAATTTTATTATTTATCAACTGTTTATACAATTTATTTGTAAAGACTGATTTCCTGTATGTAGATATAGTCTAATGCAATAAAATTAAATGAAAAGTAATACGTAATAGTCAATAAATGTTTTGAATAAGCAAGAGTTTAAATTTCCTTAAGTGTTTTCAACAATACACCCAACAAACAATCTGGGCATCATAAAAGTTCACTGCCAGCGTTTTATAACACTGTCATTGTGATTTATTTGCAACCGGCTCATTTTTGCATGCAAATCTCAGGAAAATGTCCTCGCCAGCGCCCAAATCCCCGGAACTTTCGGATAAAAGCAAGAAATATGACAGACAAATCAGGTATGATCTGTATAATAGACTTAGAAAGTTATTTTACATTTATTTGTACTGCCTAGGCTGTGGGGTGAACATGGACAGACGCTTTTGGAGGCGGCCACTATTTGTTTGGTGAATGTTACGGCCGTGGGCTGTGAAACAGCCAAAGGATTGGTTCTGCCCGGTATTGGAGGCTTCACTGTAGCCGATGGGAGCACCGTCAAGGAGGAGGACCTGGGCAACAAGTCGGTAAAAGCCCCACTACTCTCGAACCCAATTTAATACAATCTTCTTCAATAGTTTCTTCCTGGATCAAAGCTATCTGGGAAAATCCAAAGCTTTTGCTTGTATGCAACTACTTCAAGAGCTAAATCCTGATGTTAATGGCGATTATGTGGAGGAAAGTGCCGACTATATATTGGCAAATAGGCCAAACTTCTTCGACAGCTTTGATTTGGTCATTGCCTCCAACCTGAACGAGCAAACTTTGCTTCTTTTGGCCGAACGACTGTGGGAAGTCAATGTGCCGCTGATCTACTGCCGATCGCTGGGCATGCTGGGCACCATACGCCTGCAAATTCGAGAGCACTGCATTGTGGAGGCGCATCCAGATAACAGACAGTTTGATCTGCGTCTGGAGCATCCATTTGATGCTCTGCGGGAGCATCTCGAAGGCACGGAGGTGACCAGCAAGGTGCCCTGGCTGCTGGTGCTCCACAAATACCTCAATGTCTGGCAGAAACAGCAGACGGATGGTGCTCGAACTCCCCGCAATTATAAGGAGAAGAATCAGTTGAGAGAGGTCATCAGGGAGGAGATGAAGCCGGATGAGGAGAACCACGAGGAGGCCATCAAGGCGGTCAATACAGCATTTGGAGCGGGACAGGTTCCTAAAGGTCTTAAAGACATATTCGAGGATGATGCTTGTGACCAGCTTAACAAGAAGGTACCTGTCACTTTCTCTCTACGTGCCTATAAATATCATAAAGATCTCTATTGTATTCACAGAGCAATGTCTTCTGGATCATGGCCAAGGCCTTAAAGCACTTTGTAATACACGAAAACGATGGTCATCTGCCGCTGCCGGGCGTTCTGCCGGATATGACTGCCAACACGGACTCCTACATCGCCCTGCAGCACATCTACCGCCAACAGGCGCTGCAGGACGCCGACCAGGTGTACCACAAGTGCCAGGAGTACCTCAAGCAATTGGCCCTGCCCGCCGATAGCATCGATGAGAGGAGTGTGCGTCTGATTTGCCGGGAAGCAGCCGGATTGGCGGTCCTAAGAGGCACTCGCATTGCTGAGGAATACGAGAAGAGCAGTCGCCTGCTGCCATTAGGTGGGAATTCTTTGCAATTCGTAAAATATCATTATGAAAACTTAATTTCATTAACAGTTGAGGACAACGAGCTGCAGGGCAACCTCACGGCCTACAACTTTGCGCTGCGCGCCTACGAGCGTTTCCTCAGCGAGTGTGGCCACATTCCCGGCGAGTGCACCGTGGAGCAGGACATCGGACGCCTGAAGAGCATTGCCGCCAAGATGCTCAGCGATCTGGGCATGCATGCCAGCATCAGCGACGATGTGCTGCACGAGATTTGTCGCTACGGCGGAGCCGAGCTGCATGCAGTGTCCGCTTTCATAGGTCAGTAAATTTCCCATCTTAAGGATAATGAGATATATATATACTTTTGTCATCGCTTTGCAGGTGGTTGTGCTGCCCAAGAGGTGATCAAGATTGTTACCAAACAATACAAGCCAATCGATAATACTTTTATATACAATGCTATAACCACTGAAAGTGTCACGTTGAAGCTATAAACAAATCGTATTTTCATAAAATCTTAAACATTTGTTCATTTTTGCACACTAAAGTCTTTCTTCGTCTTTTAATGATATGAACTGAAATACTTTAAATACAGTGTTATCTTTGTAATAACAATTCACACATGACAATCGACGAAGAAAGACATCTGGTGTTAGGAATAATTATTTCGTTTACGTGGCTTTTTTGGCCACTGTTGACACTTTGTATTTTTGGACATAGAATTTTCCGAACATAAAGAGGAATGGCACCATGTAGGCGGCACCAATTAAGCTTATCCAGGTTCCGAATTCGCAGCTCTGTATAACCATCTGTGAGGCCCAGAGCAGGAGGATGATGAACTGCAGCAACTGGAGGCCAGTTAGGTAACGCTTCCACCACAGAAACTTCTGGACGCGAGGACCCAGCACACTCAACGCATAATAACTATACATTATGACGTGCACGAAGGAGTTTATCATGGTTGGCACATAAACTGCACGGAAAAAAAAGGATTTTTTTCTGGAAAATACGCGTATTTAAAAACAGGGACTCACTTGAACCCGTTGGTATCCACTTGATCAATATCCAGCAGAATGCGAACATGGTACTATGATGGTACACATGCAGGAAGCTCAGCTGCGTCCACTTATGGCGCAGGATAAAGAAGGCAGTGTCGGCGAATTCCAGTATTTTTGAAATATAGAACCACCAAAAGGCCGCAGCTATCTGATTGATAAAGACATCGATTTTATTGCAAACTCTATGATTTTAGAGCTCAAACTTACCCGGATTTCATTTGGATTATAGCTCACCCGACACGGCTGACACTTAAAGCTATAGTTGAGGGCCCTTGAAGCCGTTAAGAGCTCCATGCAGATGTGGGCATTCAGGAGGACCATGGCTAAACTGTGCAAGAACATGGGCACTCGGAGCTGCAACGGCTTGTACCTGTAACCAGTGGGTCTTTATATAATCTCTGTCTCGATGGATGAATAACCCCTTGACCTCACCTGGTTGCCCACTTCGGTCCATACCGCACCATCAGCAAATAGAGAGCGAGCAGTAGGGGCACATTCCATGGGGACTCCACCAGCGGCCAATCCCGCGTCCGCTCATCCGCCAGATCCGCAAATGGGTACAAATAGCTTGCAGACTTTGTATCATTTGTACCAAGAGCCGACATCGGAATGTGTGCTCTTAGAATTCCTAGATTAGACTGACCCACCAAGCCTCCCCACATTCAGTTTTTATAGACGATTTTGGCCATGATCGCTCCGCTGATGCGTTGATATTTTTCCCCCCAAATTCAATTAGATGTCGCTGGAGCATAAACGTTGGGGAAGGTCTGGGTTTTACCTTTAAGATTTTCACTTAGTCGTTTATGGCATTTGTTATAACGTAAGATAGGTTTTTAATTTTTCAGAACATTTGTGTGTTTGACGCAATACAAAGTTACTGCAATGTCAACTAAGTAATTTTTATAAATTTATGACTGATTCTCAGCTAGTGTCCAAGTTCAAGATATGGTTTTCTAGGTCTGTTTTGAAAGTCATTGAATGAAACATGTGTTTATCATTAATTATACTCTCTAATATAAGGCCCGAAATTAGGCAAATATAAAAGCTTTTTCTTGCTTTAATTTTAATTCTGAAAAAATAAAGTTAAGAAACAAATAATACACTTTAAATAAATACCAACCATTTTAAAATTAATTATTTTAATGGAAGAATTTTTTTTTTACTGAATTCAGCTATTGACATGCCGGTCATAGCTTTTTTTTTTAAATAATCCTTACAAATCTTTCTCAATTTAATTTTGAACCTTCTCTTTTTTAAAACGAAACCACTTCAAAAATAATTTGCTGAGTTAGAAAGAGTTATGTTCACTTGTCTAGAACGGAAGTTCTAGAATGGCGGCTTGTCGATGCCACACTCGTCGGGTTTTTTGAAGACAAGGGCATAGGTGAGCACGGGATGCACATTGATGTCCTCGGAGGTTGTTGAAAGGAGCGAGTGCGTCGAAGGACTCTCCATGAACAGCATCTCAGCATCGAACTGGCTCCAGCGACCTCGGCTCAGCTGGTCCTTAACGTACTTGAGATGGGTGTTTATCTGGGGATATATGTAGGTGGAATTGAATGATTTAATTGGGCACTGAAATTTCGTACAAAATGTTCGTAAAATTGGTTCTGCCCACTGTAAATGAAACAGATGTAGCTTAATTTAAAAAAAAATATATACATCCAATAAACAACAATACAAGAAGTTTGTTTTTAGTAAAGTAGATATCTTCTTTTATCAAACAAAGTTAAATAATACTTGATCAAACACTATATGGCATAATAGGGAAAACCTTACCATAGGCACTAGCAAAGGGTTTCGATTGCAGTTGAATAGTTCCGCCACAAACTTTCGCAGATTTTCTGGTTTTGGTTTGCCATTGAGTGCCTGGTGCAGAATTACCCGAATTATGGCACGTATCTGGAATATATAGATCCGAAAGTAAATAACATTAAACTATTTTAGTAAAATAAAGCCACCTCAGGATGTTGACAGAGATATTCCCAGTTTCCAATTCGAAGCTGTTTTTGAATGCGCTTTATTGAGCCATAGTGCTTTATGTCCCGCGAATCCCACTTGCCAAGATCCCAGACTTTGGTAAAGTACGGCTTATTCACTTTTGACATGTTTCCGATTTTTGTATTGACCTTGTTTTTACAAGAATTTAGAACTGACTTTACAATTTATAATAAGAAATTAGAAACAAAGGGAGGTTGGTAAGGCTTTAAGCTTTATATGTCTATATTTATTAATTTCAATTTAAAATCATAAAATTCACAATTATACGGCAATTTGACCAAGATATTAAGACAAACATTTAGCTTTTGGCGTTGTGGTATTTAATATTTGTTAATAAATAAATTAGATTTATTAAAAAGCATAAAGTTCAAACCATTTTGAAATTCCAATTGGCGCCAATTCTTTATGCAAAAGTACTCGATACTTTTCTTTGCCGTCTTTTGGGAACAAAGCAAACGGTCACACTGCCCGCACAAAAGAAAATTTTGACGAACGTTGTTAGAGATTTCCGCTTTTAATTAACAATGATGAATTAATTAGCGCTGGAATTAGCACAAGCTACAACTTCAGAAACTTTCAAGGGTCCAAGGCAATAGGAAGCGATGGTAAGATGAGTGGAGATGACTGTGAAGTGGAAAAACTGGTCAATCGAACCGGCTTGCCCGGAAAAATGAGGAGTCCGTCGTAATAATAGACCAAAAATAGATTGGAGCGCAGTGGCCCAAAAATAGCCACAACGACATGTGCTGCCCAACTAACAGTTCTACCTTAACCAATTGCAGGCTGTGCTGGGCGCCCAATTGGTCATCACCCTGGTGATGGTCAGTGTCATCCAGAAGCTGAGTCCGCACTACTCCTTCGCCAAGTGGATCTTGTGCCGCACTGGCCTGCATCGATACCTGCATCCCACGGACGACGAGCTGCGCTCCCGCGGCGGAGTTCCCAAGGAGAAGCCCCCGAAAGGTGGCCGGAATAAGCATGCAAATGGCTCGGGATCGGGAGGCGGAGCAAGTGCAGCGGGCGCACAGTTTCACATACCGCGCAGCATTGAGGTGGAGCTACTCACGTCACCGGTCCTGGAGCGGGATGTGGTCCACCTGCGCTACTTTACGGAGTACCAGTGGTTGCTGGACTTTAGCGTCTACACGGGCATCGTCTACGTGGTCTCAGAGGTGGGCAAAATAGGGATTCCCCAATTAACTCTTCAAAATACTGTTGTTCCTTGACATTGTTTGACTGGGATTTTTATTGTTTTCCTTCATATGGTTCACCCATTTCTTGATCAATAAGAATATTGAATGTGCACATGATTTTCTACTTAGTTTTCAATAGCTCTAAACTTTACATAGTTGAAATTTCAAGAAACGAAACTATTTAATAATGCTTCTACTTATGTTTTTATCCTCCACAGCTGTTCCATTTCTTCTATCCGCTGCGCCAGGAGATCAACCTGAGCATGGTGTGGTGCCTGCTGGTCATCTTCTTTGCCCTGAAGCTACTCTCCTCGCTGACGGTGCTCTACTTCCAGAGTGAGGAGTCCATCGGCGAGCGATCGATGGTGATTGTGGCCTGCCTGGTCTACCTGCTGGTGGCCATGGTCGTGCTGATCGTGGACGAGCGCATCCTGGAGACCGGTCTGGAGGATGCCTATGCCAGCTTCAATGCCAGCGCGTCAAAGTTCCTCACCGAGCAGGGCCTGCCATCGTCGTGAGTTTTGAAACTAGATAGCAATCACTGATTATCACTAACTTTTTCCTCTGTTTTTTGTAGCGGCCCCGCCTCCAAGATAGTGGTCAAGTTCTTTCTGGCCATGGGTTGTGGCGTGCTCGGCTCGCTGTTCACCTTTCCCGGGTTACGAATGGCCAAGATGCACTGGGACTCACTGAAGTATTGCCGTGGCAATCGGCTCCTGCAAGTGCTGCTCAACCTGAGCTTTGTTCTGCCCTTCATCCTAGTCATTCTGTGGATACGACCCATTAGCCGGGACTACCTGACGGTGCGCGTCTTCCAGGGAATGCAACAGCCACTGTAAGCACTAGTCTCCCTCTCTTGCCAATTTAGTGCTTATAACTGCGAGTTTTCTTTTCATTTGCTGCAGACTGAAGCCACACGTCTTCGAAACCCTTCGCCTGCTGCTGGTGATCCTTGTGGTGGTGGTGCGCTTTGCCCTGATGCCCATATATCTGCAATCGTACCTGAATCTGGCCCACGACAAGATCCTGGATCTGCGCAAAGAGGCCGGCCGCATCACCAATGTGGAGTTCAAACAGAAGGTGAAACAGCACTCTTGTATGAAACTCAAATTGGAGTAAACTCATTGTGTTTTCATATTGACAGATCTCGTCGATTTTCTATTATCTGTGCGTTGTGACCCTGCAATTTGCTGCCCCGCTGATTCTATGCCTTTATCTCACGCTAATGTACAAGAGCTTGGGCGGCTTCAGTTGGTCGGGCATTTTCCAGGACAGCGTCGTCCTGCAGCACGAGTGCGCGGCCAGCGAAGTGGAGCCTATTGGTGGCAGCAGTGTCGTTTCCCAAGGAGATGGCGAATTCAACATCCTGGAGTCGGCGCAATCGCTGCAGGCTTCATTCAGCAGCCTTAAGAATGTAAGAACTTATCTTCTGCCATTCGGAGCCGCCATTAACCCAAGATGTTTTCAGGTCTTCTCCACGGAGGTGTACAAGGGCTTTCTGGGTTTTGCCACCTGGTGGAGTTACTTCACGCTTTTCGCCACTTCTTCGTTGGGCATTGTCTACCAGTCATATTTCAACAAGACCTAAGGCCATTTAATTACACACCTGGAATCCACATAAGTAGTACGAATCTGTTCCTTGTAGTCCATTTGTATTGTAGCTTATTCAATTAATATTGTTTTCTACTCATCTGGCGATTTGATTGGCCTTCATCATGTTTTGTAAATAATACAACTTTTCTCATTGTTTATAAAGTGTGTAATCACGATTTTTAACTAGGCTGCCCCTGGAAGTAACCAAAATAAACTAAAGATAATCTAAAATAGATATGAATGCCTTTAAAAAATGAGTACCTCATCGTGATTTTCTTGTTCTTCGCGACAGTGAAGACTAAAGCATTGGCTTAAGCTTTGGTTTTTGCCGATTTAAATGGTTTATAAATGCATTTATACATCGAATTTCCCTAGCTAGATTGCACTTTGGGTTTAAGAAAACGAATAAACTTAAATTCGTAATACAAAACACATTTCTATTCGGGTATAGGTCAATTTAAAAACACCAATTTATTGAACCTTTAAGGTTGCGTATTAAACTAACAGACCACAGGCTATGTATATGTAGAAGTATATCGTATCTTTTGCATATCTCCAGTAGGTAGTGCTAAATAGAGTAGTTCAGCACAAGGGCCGACTTCGGAATAGATTATCAGTTAGATCTTGGCAATGCCAATGACGCCGCATCCAATGCGAGCACCGGCGTTGCCCGTGGACTTGCTCAGCTCGTGGCCACCCTTGCCGAGATCATCGGCATCGGCGTGGACCACCACGGTGCGTCCGATGATGCTGTCGGCGCCGAACAGCGTGATCCTCGAGTCGGAGATGTTGACCTTCGTGGGGCAGTCGCCAGTGGCCTCAATGTTGCCCAGATCGCCCAGGTGGCGGTCCTCGTCGGCGGGGGCGCCATGCTCCTTGCCGTAGGGATTGAAATGCGGCCCCGATGACATGCAGCCGTTGGTGTTGTCCCCGAACTCGTGCACATGGAATCCGTGCAGACCCTTGGCCAGGCCGCACACCTCGCCGGTGACCTTCACGGGCGTGTCGCTGCTCTGTGGGAGGGAAAAAAAAGGAATGGAAAGATAAAGTAAGCGTTTTGATAACGCAGAAGTTGTTTTTAATCATGACATTTGATTTTAATTTACTGGTAATTATGCTTAATAACCATTTGAGCAGTTATTTTAATACTAATGTTTTTCTTCTGGAATTTTCTTTTAGATCATTATAAAACTAGTTTTACATGCAATCGAAAAAGGCACTTTTAATAGTAGTTTCCGTGGCTTGTATCTATAAATGTTCTTTTCAGTTCATTAAGAAAATTAAAAATTTTAGGAATTTAAAAAATTGTTATAGTAAGAGGCATTACAATATATGTTGGTAGGTTAAGGTAGCTCAAAATATATTGTACAGCAAAATACTTATTGTGTTATCTTTTCTATACAAAGTATTTGCGCCTGGAACTCTTGCACATAACCTGTAATCAGCTTTTATTTTGTGTTCATTATCTTAAAGCCCTTGAATATGCACTGATCTCATTTTTGATAAAACAAATGTAGATATTTGCAACTTTGGGATCTACATATATTATTTTATGTATTCCTTCAAGGTTCCAAATTTTTTTAAGAAAGAAATCAATAACCATATGAAATGATTATAATGGTAACTACTATTGGAAATGTGAACGAATATTTTGGGCAGAAAATCATGTTCTTCAGTGCTATTATCTTGACCCCAGCTGTAAGTTCTTGAGCGCACACATGTGCGCATCGTTGTTGAGCTTATATAATTGTGCATTTGTTAGGTGACTAGGCAATATTTCGCAAGCGGACCTAATTGAAATGCTCGAAAGTGTTTCAAGCAGCAAATCGAAATTAGAAGAGTGCGCGGGGTAAGCCGGCAATTTGACCTTTAGAACTTCTTTTGTTCGCTGATGTTTCTGTCATTTGCTAGCGAGGAACATCGCAAAATCGTAAATTCTCACCTGTTGTTCAAAGAAAACAGTGCCCTTGGCATCGCCATTAATTACGCAGACAGCTTTGACCACCATTTTAACAATTGATAGTTTATCAAAACGAAAAAACTTGCAAACTTTCCAGGTATCTCGAATAGAGTGACCGTGGCAGGGCAGGTTGAAAATACCAGTTGGTCTGTTCCGGTTTGAGTCATTGCTAAGTCAAATTTCAGTTCTCTACCAGCTCCATAAAAATCTGATCATTCTCTGTTACCTGTGTTTATACGAGGTTAAAATCTGGTATTGGTGGAGAAGGTGTAAGCATAAAACACAATTCCATTATATAGATCACGCATGACTGATTGTTATTTAAAATTATTATTTAAAATTTTCCAGCAGATTGCACCACCTACATTTGTCCCGATTATTGACAAGTTGTATTTTTATTATTTTAAAATTGGTTAGCGCAATAGCGGCATCTATCAGTATTATATTTATCAGTTTTACCAGATAAAAAAAATGTACTTCTTCAGGTACAAAAAACTTTTGTCGTGTATTAGTCCAATTCTATTTTTGTAATATAATTAATTAATTTTGTATAATATAGTCAAAAATCTTAGTGCCTACATTTATTTACTTCACTATATGTTTATATGTGGAACATAGGTTCGTTAAGATAATTTAAATGGTAATAATTAGATTTAAGAAAATGTTGGGAATTTTGTTTTTGTTTCTAGATATATCAGCTTTGTTCTTGTTTTAATAAAGTTAAAAATTTGCTGATTAATAAAGTGTAGTTGTTTTCGTTATACCACTAGCACTTATTTAAAACACAAAACATATAAATATTAGGGCTACAATAAAATAGGACCAACAAATTGGCTGGGGTAGATACCCCTTATAAGATTCAACTCTGTCAGCTGTTTGGCGAACCACTGGATCATTTTTGAAGCTTCTAATTTATTCAAGTAAATGCCGACTCTTCTTGCTGGCTTTGTTTAAATAAAGGGAAAGGCCCCAGAAAAAATTGATGTTTCATTTGTGTAAAGCTTACATTCAGTCAGTTGGCTTGACTTAGAAAAAGAAAAACTCCAATCAAACACCAATTTAATCCTGCTGGAGATTTAAGCCACAAAAAGCTGCGCATATTCCTTAATCGAAGTCGATAAGAGACTAAAACTACAACTATGGAGAATTGGTAAGTATACATTTATTAGCCAAAAACAATACTTACTCATAGATTCATTTATCTACAAAGGCTGGCCTGTTCTTATAAGAAACTTACGGAGGAGGATGATTTCGCCGACTGCTGGATAATTGTTGGTGCGCGGAAATTCGGATGCCATAGGGTAGGTTATTCATACTGGTTGATATGTACATATATTATACATATGTGTTTAAATATTAACATTATTAAGGTGATATTGGGCGTGGCTTCGGAGTTCTTTAAGCGCGCATTCCAGCCTGGTTTTGCAGAGGCGAAAAAAAGGGAGTTAAACCTAACTGATGTCACGCCGGAAATTTTCGAAAAGTTTCGGCTCTATGTATACGCCTACGACAAGGACACGCTCAATAGTTACAGCAACTCGGATATCATCAAGCTGAAGGAGTGCGCCAACATGTGGATGGTAGAACCACTTAAAATTGCCTGTGACGAGATCTTCAGGATAAGGTTTCCCCAGATGTCGTACCCGGATTTGCTACTATACTTTGAGCATGCGCATCACGTACATGACAGGAATCTCATCGAAGTGATTGTGCTGTTTTTGAAAAAAAAGATTTCAATGTCATCGATTCCCGAAGAAATTTATGAACTTGGCTCAGATGTGTTTAGAGAGTTTTTGATGGTCATCAGGGGATCGGTGACTGAGAGAGTGCGTTATGACATGGTGCAGAAGTATGTCGGGGTATATGGGTTTGTGCTCAACCTGAGCGATCTCAACAAGTGGGAGTTCCACGGATTCTCCAATCAAAGCGAAACAAAACCCGCCGTCACGTCAGTATTTAAGTTTGGACCTTCCAATCCAAGTGAGAAAACAGCGGATGACTATGCCAACCCAAATCCCTTCAAGGTTGAGAAATTGAACTCCACCGAACGTAACGCTATACCCTTTGATCCCAGGGCAAAGAAAATCAACAGCGAATATGTGAAGAACATTTTGGGTCTTATCGAGTACACAAAAATGACAGCCAACGAGTTCTTCGAGGGGCCTGGAAAATCCAAAATGATGACATTTGAGGACAAGTTCAACTTTATGTATAAGATAGCAACTAGGAGGAGTATTTAACTGATCTAAATATGAGAAAAACAGGCAAAACTTAGCTTTAAATGTGTTGCCATTGATTCGAAAGCTGTGCAAGCTAATCCATTTTTGTTTAAAACTTCTACACAAGACTGTAATCGTTTGTAAATAAACTTGCTTAAACTATGTATGTATTTACACAAAATAAAACTCAACTTTAACCAACCAATGGATTTCTATTTAAGCCTTTATAAAATTCTCCCAAGAATATATAGTTCAAACATAGATAAATAGAAACAGCAATATATACATTTGATTTTTGTTTTTTAATACACAATTTGTCCAAACACTTAAATGGGATTTTCTTCATTAATAAGAAATAATGTGCTATCATTTCAATCTTTATATATTGTTATTGTATCCGTAAATTTGTAGATATTACTTATTAATTTTCATCATTTTTGTTTTTGTTTGTATTTTAATGTTTTGTATATATATTTATATATATATATAGATATATATATATATATATTTTATATTTAAATCGATATAGGTAAAGGTATGTAGATAGGTAATATTATTCATTCGCCTGTTTGTTTGTTTGTTTGTTACTTGTGTGGTTGGTTGCTTGTTACTTGATTTTCCCCCAAATTTTCTCACGCTTCTCGCACACTTCGGTCACATAGCTATAACATCTTAAACATCATAATCATCAATCATTACAATAATCAATCGCATATATCTATATAATTTTGCTTTGTTTGCTGCTTTACCTCGCTTTAAACTTAAAATTTATTATATTACTTAGAGAGTAGCGTCATCGAGCATATTGAATTCGTCAGATCTAAGGGATTAAGTCGTAACTTCGAATCGGTTTGGTTTTCGAATTTCGATAAGTGTGTATGTATGTAGTTGCCGCCGTTGAACGGTTGTATGGCCAACATGGCAAACACAATCTCACAGTTGCTATTTGTAAAATGTTCCATATCAATTTATACACTTTGCGTTCGTTTGCTTTGCTTTGCTTTGCGTGCGCTGTTTATCCATATGTTGTGTTTGAGTTTGTGTTTATGTTTTGTTTTGTTTTGATTTGTTTTTGGGGTATAGGTAGGTTTATGATTGGCAAATTCAATATACAAGATGGAGATACTTTTTGTTTTGCTTTCTAATCGTTTCCACCCGTGGGCCCACTATTTGCCCTTGCTCTGCCGGTGCTTCTGGATCCGCACGCATCAGAGCACCTCGGACACGTACTTGGGTCGCTTGGCCACGGTGGCATCGGTGGCAGTGGTTACGCACTCCTCCTCGCTGGCCTCGATGTGACCACTGTAGTCGGTCGGCAACTCCTCATAGATAATCTCTGAATGCTGCTGCTGCTGTGGTTGTTGTTGTGCCACTGCCTGCTGCTGATGCAGCGAATGCGATGCTCCACCGCCCATCACATGATTCCTTTTTAGCGCAATCAGAGCTCCGACCCCGCCGCCTCCGCTCGCTCCGCTTCCCTCAACGAGCGCCTGTGGTACGGCCACCCCGGAGTTTTGATTGGTTACGTAGTACGGACTGCCGCTGCTGAAGGACCAAATGAATGGTTAAGAGTGTGCCACAGTATGGAATAGTTCACTCTTTGCTCACCTGTACTGATTGGAATTGCTTGACAGCGTCTGCTGCTGCTGTTGCTGTTGGTGCTGCTGTTGCTGGTGTGCATTTTGAGAGTTGTAGATGATTTCTGCAAAACAAGGCAACCAGAAAGATTACAAATTGTGTTGGGACTTTGCTGTATGTTACACTTTACTAAGTTTCTTTAATCTAGACAAAATTGTAATCAAAAACATATACCAATTTAACTTGTTTAAATTTGAAATAAAACTATAATTGTATTTCCATAAATGCAATTTAGTACGGATTTGAAAGGCTAAATACGTGTTCTCAAATTCTTAACGAAGTGATTGTTTTGTAAATTATTAATTCTAATAGCGTAAGCCTTGGCTTCTCCAAGATTGGCATTGATTTCAATAAATCATAGAATGCCTCTTACCGGCATCAGCTGCGCGTTGTTCCAGCGACATTCCCGGCGATCCGGGAGCAGATTGCAGCACAATGTCCTGCAGCGGTGAGCTCTCGCGCGAGTTATCTGAAGCGAATCAAAATGGATTAAATATAAAACCAAGAATAGATTTTAGACCCCAACTTACCCATGTGACTGGGCGAGACGGGCGCCGAGCGGGGCATCCCGTATGGCGGACGGAAGCCCTGGCTGCTCCGCTGGCGACGCTTCTTGTAGCTGTGATCGATCAGCTTGGCGCCGCTGTCCGGATCAATGCGCCAGAATGAGCCCTTGCCGGGCTCGTCCTGAGAGCGGGCCACCTTGATGAAATACCTGCAAAAACAAGCGCAGAAATGAGCAACGATTTTGGCAGACATTGGATTGGATGGGGTCAAAGTGCTACCTATTTAAACTGAGATTATGACGTATGGAATTCTGCCAGCCCTTGTTTGTCTCCTTGCGGTAGTACGGGTAGTGCTTGACTATAAACGAATAAATGCCCGAAAGGGTTAGCTGCTTGTCCGGTGCGGCAGATATGGCCTGGACGATAAGCTGGGCGTAGCTGTACGGCGGCTTCTCGTTGTGATTGTAGCTGGCTGTGGAGGGCGTCTGGAACAGATCCTGCTGCAAGAGGTTGCAATTGCTCATTGGTATGTCTTCTATACGGTCTAATGTTATTAACTTACTGTATTGTTGTTACTGTAGTTGTTGTAATTGTTGGGCTGGTTCTGAATGAAACCCTGACGTGGACTAGCCGGACAACTGTTGGCAGCGCTTATTGTACCTGCGATCACAATCAAATAAACCTTATTAAAATTGGAGAACTAACAAATTAATAAGCATATGCTAACTATTCTCAATTGAATTACACAGTGCAAATTAGCCATGACAATTATGTAAACAAGTTGCTCATTTTTAATTTGAAGTTATTGACAAATTAAGAGTGCCCTATACTCTTTAAATGTTCAAATAGGATAAAATTCCACTTGCCAGTTGGTGACAGGTAGGGGCTCTTCTGCTCCTTCTTGGGTATGGATATCTTGAGCGGAGAATAGATGCCGGGTCCGTCTCCGGCGGCGATCAGGTGGGCAGCTGTCCCGGCTGGAGGCGCCACAACGATGTTGCCGCTGCGCTGTTGCTGCTGGTGCAGAGTTGTGTGGTGGAGCGGGTGGTGTGGTGTGTGCGGGAGTGGGTGGTGCGCCGCTGGCTGCTGCTGTTGCAGCGGCTGGTGGTGCGGTGGCTGGTGGTGCGGGTGCTGCTGCAGCTGCTGCTGCTGCTGCTGGTGATGATGCATCTGCTGCTGGTGAAGCTCGTCCCTCGGCGGCGGCGTAATAATAACGTGGGCTCCACCACCACCCACTCCACCACCGCTTACGACCAACGATGGCGAGTGGCCGGCGGCGGCATCCGATTGAGTGTCGGGCACATAACTCTCGAACTCGATGCGAATCTCCGTACTGGGAAAGCGGAAGTAGCAGCTGCGAATGAAAAGGGAAAATTTGATTACAGATAATCTTGTTAGTACCCAGTACAATTTAGTAAAATTGTTCATGGACTTTAAAATAACCATATTAAAATACATTTTTGACTTGTCACTTGACTATAGCAATACGACGATTTATATTTGCTTTTAACGCCTCTTTTTAACTCCTCAAATAGAATTTTATGGTTTAAAGCAAGGAAAACGTGTTGGCCACGCTCTTTTTATTTTTTTGTTACTCAACTGCACTTTTAAGTATTAGTTTGTGAATCATTCTTTTACAAATTGATTATTAAGCTTTCAGCATTTTTAAGTTGAAAACTTATTAAAAAGAGATAAGTTTACTAAACCATACCCATAAAAGCGATGATAAACTAAGTTTAGTGTTTTATAATTACACTTCTAGAGTCTATAGAAAACATACCAAAAAAAAAATTGCACATTTCGTTCCTTTACGATTTACAAGCTCCACTTACCGTTGCGGCAGACGAAGTGGATCCACGTTGCGGCGCTGCAAGAAATCATCCACAAAGATGCCATTCTTGCTGAGGCACTGGACAAAGAAGGCGCGCAGCTCCACGTCGTAGAGCACCTGGAAATGTTTGCGCGACACCAGGTTGTTCTCGGCCACATTGAAGTGGACCAGCGATGTGGAGGAGTTGCGTCCGATGACCGTCACGGCGTCCGTGATGGGCAGTACCTCCTGGTTGAAGCGTAGCTCTCCATATGGCGGCGAAGATGATGCTAAGGCATTGGCGGAGGGGGTGGTGGTGCTGCCGCTGCTGGCGGAGGAGGAGGAGGTGGTGGTGCTGTTAGTGGCAGGTGGGTGGTTTGCTGAATTGTTGCTGCTGTTGGTCAGCTGATCGGCGCCGCTGTTGTTATTGTTGCTTCCCGCGCTGTTGCCGCCGCTGCTGCTGTTATTGTTGTTGCTGCTGTTGCTATTATTGTTGTTATTCAGCGCTGCTGTTGCTGCTGCTGCCGCTGCTGCGCCATGATGCAGCTGCAACATGTCCTTGGCAATCGCAACGGTGGCGGCGTCGGCTGCACCACCTGCAATGTTGGTGGGTGGGTTGTTCAGTACGGCGTGTACGGTTACAATGTTGTTGTTGCTACTGTTGTGGCCGTTGTTGTTGCTGCTGTTATTGTTGTTGGTGGTGGTGCTATTGCCGGTGGTTGTTGCTAGTGTTGTGGTTGTTGTTGTTGTAGTGGCGGCCATTGAAAGGTAAATCCCACTTGTCCTATGCTCGCTTACTGTTGTTGTTGGCCTGCGAAATGGATAAAGTAGTGCCTTTATTTGTAGAGTCATTGAAAAGGTTTAACAAAACTCTGCTTTTGCACATTTGTATGTTGAATTATGTAAACGAATAATATCAAATTGATATTATTAATGTTTGATAATAGGTATACCTTTCAAATGTACTTCGTACTAATTAAGAGAAACTATTCACATTTATTGTTGTTTTCAGAAAATATGTGCTTATACATACATTAAAACATATGTATGTTTAACTTGTTTAAACAGCAAAAATTTATGAACTTAAATTGTATTCATTAATATGTCTACTCGAACCTTCATTCTTTCTTTTTTTGGTTACGTCTATTAAATTAATCAAGTCTTTCATTGATAAGCTTTTTGTTTTTAATAAACGATGCACTTTTTATTGACACTTTAATAGTTAAACAGTAACCATTACGCTTGATTAATTAAGTTGCCTGATATAACCATATTTTTTTTTTTTTTGAGTATCTACATTAGTTTTTCAGCATTATATATGTTACCTATTGACTTTGCACATTAAGAACTTATTAATTTTATTCGCACACTGTTTTTACATTGGGTGCATTAATTTTTCCCTTTTTTTCATAGCTTTTCACGCGCTTTTTGCTCTCTTTTCGTTTTGGCCCCAAGGTTTCTTCTTTTCGTCAGCCACAAATTATTTTCCAAATATACACACTCACTCGCATCGTTGCTGTTTCGGTTTTTGCTTTACTCTGTTTTGCTACCGCAGCCGCACATACACAATCGTACCTATGTATGTACATACCTTGGTCGACAACAAAAACAAGCGCCGATTGAAGCAACAACAATAATAATAATAATAACACAACTACTACTTCTACGCGGCGGACACTACGTGAGTAAACACACATATATGTATAGGGGAACAAGCGAGAGAGCGGCAACTGCAAAGGCTCACGCTTGCGCTCTCTTTCGCTTTCCCGGGCAGAGTGGAATGGAAAAATCTCCTCTCTCCAACTCCATCACACACATCAGTATCGGTATCCCCATCTCTCCAAACTGAGCTTGCGGCCAGTGTTGCCAACAGGCGATGACATACCCACAAATAGCAAACAAATCATTTAAGGCGGAAAAAAGCTGCATTGAAAAGGGGTTATGTCCATGTGACACTAAAAGGGTGATGAGACTATTTTACTTGTAGCTTAGATAGATAGGCTTGTTTTAAAAATAGTTGCTTTCTTTTAAAATTAAAACAGGTAAACACTATACGATTCGTAACGAGTTATTGTTAATCTTTAAAAAAGTAGTAAGGAAAATAATTTCTCAGTGTGACCCACTCAACTACTATTTGTATTCTTGCAAAACCCTTTTTTGTGCACCTGTGCAACAAATGGCCAGCAATGATATTCGCCCCAAGCTTAACTTACTTGCAGGGATTTGGGGAAAAGGTGAGACTCCCATGGCAACCGAAACTTTTCGGAGAACGATCTGTATCTTGAGTTATTTTGAGGAGAAACGGGGAGGAGGGCAAATAATGCGACTTTTTGTATGCGGTTATAAAAGAACGTTGGCAACACTGGTCCACTCTCCTACTTCTTTGGCTCCACTTGGCACCAACACAAAGCCACACTGGAACACACACACACACGAACGGGTTGAGAACTCTCGCACTGGATGGCCCCACATGGCTCCCCATCAATCGATCGAGCTTGCATGCATAAACATGCAAAACGAAACCAAAATAAAATTAACGAGAACAACAAAAGGCAAACAAACGCCCATACATACGACCATATAAATAAACACACGGCTACATATAGAATTGGCGAGTAAGATATGCGTGTGTGCATGTGTACATGTGTGTTGGGTCACTCGTAACGGCAAAACGATGGAAGGCAGCGAAAGAGAAGCACAATAAATAAATAAAAACACCAAAATACATACAAACTGGCGTATTGGAAATGCGTAAAAAATGCCGCTCGTTGATTTTTCAGCTAGCAACCGACAACCGACTCCACCTGCGCATACATACAGACGACGGATGTCTTGTTTGTCTCTTTGTAAACACACAAAAAGCACACTTTTCACAACGTATAGCTCTGCTTTTCTGCTCTTTGGTTTTCGCTCGGCGATTGCGTAAACTTGCCGCCCGCTTTTTTCCCACCTAACATCAAAATATGTACATACACTTAAGGCCACCGTATGTGTATGTGTGCGTTTTGCGAGCGTGTTCCAAAATAAAAACTTAGTATTTATTTATATGCCTTTTAGCTGGTTGATTTTCAGCTCACTCTGCTATTGATTTTCTATTACTACTAATTCTCGCCTCTCTTTCGCTGTTTATATTTTCGCCGTTGGTTATCAAACCCGAACTGTTTTTGTTGTTTTTCTTTTCAGTTTTTTTTTTTGCATACAACACGTTTTTCGCTTGTTTGTGTGTGTATATTATTTTTTGTTCGCCTTGTTTATTTTTATTTTTTTGCGTACCTTCTTGGAAAAAACCTTTGGCTGATGCAATTTGTTAAATCCCTCGCTATAAACGTAACACTAGTAGTTGGGCAATAATTAAAAGCCGATTTGTGCACTTTTTCAGCGATTTTAATGCGGTTTTCCCGATTCTTATTGCTTCAGCGCGGTGAAGAAGAAAGAAGAAGAGCGCAATTCGAGCGAAGTGGTGGCAACGCCGTCATCCGAAGCCAGGTATGGCCAGTCAAAGGTCTGGCAACGCGACGCAACAGCTGTTTTCAGCCGCATTTCGATTTTGTAACAGTTTGGAAAATTCTTTTTGTGTGATTTCTTAATTAAATCTGGCAAAATGCAAAGTCTGACGCGTTTGCTGAACACGACCTTATCCCTGCAAATGCCGCCAAGGATGGCGGTAGCAGGGGTCAACCTTCAGCAGCTGCGCGGCAAAACCAAAGTGGTCGAGAAACCAACACCCGGTGCTGGCCAGCAATTCCGGCGGATTGTGCACTTCCCGGAGGAGTACACGGTGGAGCCACTGAAGATCACCCATTTGGCGGGCAGAGATCCCGTCTCCGGTCGACTGGTGGCCAAGGGCATCGGCGGAGGCATAAAGCAGCAGTATCGCTGGGTCAAATGGTTGCGAGATGGTCCCACGGAGGGAGCCCAGGAGGAGCTGGTGCTCGAGGTGCTCCGTGATGGCTGCCGCACTGCGAAAGTCGCCCTCGTGGCCGTCGGCGATGAACTCAAGTACATCCTGGCCACCGAGAACATGAAGGCAGGCGATATCCTCAAGACCTCTCGACTGATCCCTAGGATTCCGGGTGAGTTCACTTATACATGATACTCTAATATGTAGTAAAAGTCTTGGTTTCCTTTTACCTATCAAAAAGATTTCTTTAAATAATGTAAATTGTAAAAGCCTTGTTTTAATTTATTACCAAGAATTTAATAAGTGCATTTGTTAAACTTTGTTTTTAACACCCATTACTGAACTATTTTAACTAAAAATATCATATTAAATAGCGCTAAAATTGATATACTCCGGCATAAGGCGTTATAAATTTAGTAGGAAGCTCGTATCGTATTGAAGGACATTTGGTTTAAAACATGTTCTTAATTTTGTTATTTTTTGCGAAATTAACTGCGCCTAAACACTATATTTGCGCAGTAAAAACTGATCAAGTTCAAAGACCTTGTCGATCGCGATACAATTCTCCTATATATTTTCAAAAATAAAATATATAATATCATGTTAAAACTGATCCAATTGAAATTAAAAAAATCTCACATGGTCTGTTACAGTCGATTTATTCATAATCATCTAAATTTTGTAAACATTCGACCTTTTTCTAAATAAAAGACAAGATGTTTACAAATTAAACGCCTTAAGCTGTGATGCAAGAGATTTGTTAACAAACAATAAGGGCAACTTGTATTCATTTTAAAGTTGTATCCGGCAATCGCTTAACCCTATTAATTAATTTTCTCTTTTTCCACTAGTGCGTCCAAACGAAGGTGATGCCTATCCGCTGGGCGCCTTGCCCGTGGGCACCCGTATCCACTGTCTGGAGAAGAATCCCGGCCAGATGTGCCATTTGATCCACGCCGCCGGCACCTTTGGCACCATCCTGCGCAAATTCGACGACAAGGTGGTGGTGCAGCTGCCCTCCAAGCGGGAGTTTGCCTTCCAGCGCACATGCATGGCCACTGTGGGTCGTCTCTCCAACCCGGAGCACAACAAGGAGCACGTGGGCAGTGCCCAGCGGATGCGGGAGATGGGCAATCGTCCGCGTTCCGGTCTGTGGAAGCGCAAGGAGGGCAAGCACGGCCGTAAGATACGCCGCCTGCCGCCCATGACCACGATATCGCCACCGGCGCCACCCAAACAGGAGGCCATCAAGTTGACGCTGCCCCTTTAAGGATCTTGCTTTAATTTCTATGTGTCACACAATATACAACTAGAACTAGAACTACAGCTAGAGCTATTTGCGGGTTTTCTTCATGGAGAATCCGGTGCCGTGGAAGCTTTCCGCATCTGAGCCATCCGCATTGCCAGCTGCGGCCCCGTCTTCGTTGACCCTGTCACTGATGGGGCGAATGTTGCGGTCGAAACGGATAAGGCCGAACTGGAAATCGTAGTCGGGCACACCGCGCGGCAGTACCTTCTTGAGGACCGGCGTCTCCATCTGGCTTTCCTTCTTCTTTTTGCCATCCAAACGGACGCCGGAACCCTTGAAGGTCTCAACCACCTCCTCGAGAATGGCGTTGGCCCCTCCGGAGGCTTCACCGCCCGCAGTTCCCGCCGCGCCCTGCTGTCCCGAGCCGGAAGCCTGCGTTTCTGAGTGATCCTTGTAGCCCACCGGTGCCTCGAACTCCACATTCATGTCACACTCAATGATGCTGACGGCATTGCCGGGCTTCGTCTCCAGAACGCACAGTTCGTAGACCTTCTTGTTGTACTTGATGGCTATGACATCGCCCTTCGTGAGGCAGGCAAAGTTGCGCAGGGCATTCTCCAGCACCGCCTTGGGATTGGTGATGTCCAGGAAGTCGGTGCTGTGCGGCTGGAACTTGGAGAACGTGGCCACCGGCAGCGAGACACTTTCGATATTGAGGATGTCGCCCTCCTCCAGCAGCAGGTTGTCCATCATCCAGTAGGGCAGATAGCATTTGCCCTCGTCGGCCACGAATTCAAGGACGCCGGCGTGGGAGGATCGGGATTTCTTGCCGTTGGTGAGCTTGAAGAGCATTGGATACTCCACATTCAGGCGGGTGAGTGTGTCCAACGCGGATGGAGGCATTATAACTAGGGTTTACCAGGGAATCCAAATAGGTTACTTAAGTTTTAGTAGAGAATATTCAAGAGTACTCACTTTTTCCTCCCTTTTCCACGTCCGATCGCTCGTTTCCGGGCAACATGGACACAGAGAAGCACTTGTAGGTGGCATGGAAACTGCGTCCCTCGGGAAACATCATGTTGAAGCCGCTGAAATGGAACATTCTGTGCGTTCCTTGCCCTAACTGGCTGTCCCTATGGATTTTGCACTATTTTCTATCCCCCTTTACAAGGGCTCTAATTTTTTGTTTTTTTTGTTTTGTTTCTGTAATGTCACGGCTGCAGCAGTATGACCAAAATACCGAATCGCAAAAGCAAACTGTCAACGGTCACACTTTGGACTTGCAGCCAGCTGGCAACATTCGACGCGCTTAAATTAAAATTTGCCGGGAAGGTTTCCCTTTGCGGAGCTAACCCTTTGTGTAAATCAGTTCGAAGCATAACATTTTGTTTAAATAAATTTTTGTTCATAGTAGCAAATGCCAATTGAACTGTCTTGCAGGCGATATCTGGTAAGCTTAAAAACAGTGCTGCCGGACCTTCAATACTTTGAAACGATTTTAAATTGTTGGCGGGAAAAAGAATAAAAAAAAAGGTTCGACATCTCGCTAAATATATATCAAAGATTTGTACCGTGGTTTGAGTCCACACTAGCTCGAACTGGTTTGGTATATTTGGTATTTTCCCAGCTGAAGTATATTTTTCCGAAAACCTTGGCATATTTGAACGGCCATACCAACGGTCACACTTTCTCAAAGCAAGCCGGTGGTTGCGCGCGACTTCGTCCCTATTCAATAATCGAGTTATTGATTTGAAAAAGTGTTGCTGATCAAGTGAGTATCTTTAAAGGAGAAAACCAAACGACTCCACATCTTGTAAAATGGCTGTCATCTAAAAGTCTCCCACTGGAACCGCTCCTGGCCAGCTTTTCAGTGCGCGTGGTTGTGTGTGTGCTGGCAGGATATATCATTTTGTATCCTTGTAGTCTGACTGGCGCCGCGTGTTTTTCGCGTGGGTGTGCTCGTCTCGTGTGTGTGTGTATGTGATAGATTTTCGCCAATATTTTTTCCCACACAAACATAAGCTAAAATCAAACAAGCAACAAACACAAAATGTTTGATTTGAAAAATCAATAAACTGAGCAATCGATTCAGTGAGGAGAAAAGTGGGGCGGTAATACGAAAAAAAAGTACTTTGTGGCTCCCAATTCGAAAGTACATGGTCTTCAAAAAAAGTGTTGTTTTTCCTGTCGTCCAGAGTACAGTTACTTGCCGATATTTTGCAAAAACAGTTTGAGAGTCATTGAAATCGTGTGCAGCTGTTTTCAAGTCTCTGTTGTGGTTGTTATTGTTGCTTCGCAGCTGCAGCAGCACCAAAAAGCAACAACAACTGCAACAAGGTGCGACATAAGCTACTTCCCTGCGCATTCTCTCGCTCTCTCCTCTCTTCTGGCAGCTTCCAGACAGTCCATCTCCCCCTGCTTTCTCTCGGTCTCTCTCATTTCCCCACAACAACACCGCTAGAATGATTCATTATCGAACGCCCCCCACCTCTCTTTTTGTTTCATCCTTTCGCGAAATGCTGCTCTCTATTGTGAAATGTAAAAATCTTTTGTTATATCTGCTTTTCTTAAAATTCCCAGTAAAATTCTATAGCAAATCGGTGGACCCGACTATGAAATACTTTGTAGCCTACTTGAAGGCGTAATTTCAATTAGAACCAAGCAAATATGGTATCTTATTATCGTATCACTAAGTATTAAGACTTCATCCGCCCTAAAATTGCTTCCTCATAAGGCCTTACTTTAAGGCCAAACTACTTCCACATGGGCAAAAGCAATGGATGTTTAATTCAAATTTTTATAGTTTCTTTTTCGTTAAAAAGGCTTATCTTTTGATATTAAGAAGAAAAAAAAATTATTGTTATTTCCTTTTTCCTTTTACTTAATTCCACTTGTGTTAAAAATAGTTTTGTGCTTTTTCATCCGGTCTTTTAGACTTGTAATTTTAAAAATGTATCTTAAATGTTTAAAAAATGTTTATTTTAATCAAAACATTACATTTTGCTTTAGATACCCTTCTCTCTCAAAAAGGTTAATCGGACCGGCATGTCAAAACCTCTTTTTTCATGGCATTGTAAAAGTGAAATTATAAAATCCTTTCTGGTTAAACCCTTGTGCAACCTAGCAGATACAAATGAAATACGCTTGTTGCACAGATGTGTTCCACTGTGAAGCCGAAGAGATGGAGGGGATAAGCGAAACTTCGGCATCTTTTTGTGTACAGTTTTTGCGTCTGGGAACTAAATTTAACAGGCAGAAAAAGAACTGAATAGAGCAGCTCTCCGAAATGCGTTTAAAGTTTAAAATAGTGCAACGACAGACAGCACAATCCCCAAATCTGTTATACGCTTGCTGTAAAACTTTCAAATTATATATTTGGCTTTTCTGAATATAACTTCTTTGTGCTTACGTCAAGCAACGTAATTTTCAATAGTTTTTGCAACATAATGATATATGGGTAAAACGATTGGACCGGGCAATGAATGAGTCGGTTTGAGAGTACGTGGCTGGTGGGTGGCAGCCACCCCGCAAGGTCAAAGCGTGTACACACTCACTGCCGGATGGGAAGTGTGTGTGCGAATTAAAGCGATACAGTGCTCTCCCAATTGCAATTTCTGGTTCGGTGGTTATTGCACAAGTGCCTCTCAAACTGACAAGTACAGTTAGAGTTAAAGATTCCTCTCCAGGGATTATATTCGATATAACTCCTCTAAAAAATGTTTAATAACTCAAATACATATCTCAATAGTTTATTGGATCTATGTTTCCGGTACTTTGGTCTAATCTTAAACTTAACCATTTTTAACAAAAGTAGCAAATAAAAATGTGCAAAAAGCAAACCAAATGTATTTAAAAATTATGAAGAATGTTGTCCAAAATTTGATCGTATTTGATTTGTAGTCTTACGAATTCTATCCCACAGTTGCCTGTTGCCAAGTGCCCAAAATTTATTGAATGGGAATGGTATTTCAATACACATTTATGTTCATCTGAACAAATGTAAACACAATATGTACATATGTACATATAAGAAATTCAATGAGGCAGCATAACTTGCCTTTTGTTCTGTTTTTATGCACACGTTTTAAATATCACCCGACAAAATCGTGATTCCATTTTCGGATCGCGTGTGATGGAAAAAAACCACAAAAATGCCAAACAGCTTTGAAGTTTAAACTCTTTTAATGAATGCCAAGAAGGTAGAAAAGAAGAAAAAAAAGAGAGCATAATCAGCAATAGGTAAAATTCGCCAAACGAGGCCCGCATTATTTTGTTTACTTCTCGAATTTGTACAGTCACACGTGCCAGAAACGTTTGCCTAAAAACAGTGGTCACTCGAAAGTTGGAATATCCTATATAAAGTTTTGTATTGAATGTGTTAGTTTTGTGTTTGTAAGCTGATATGAAAGTTACTAAGATTATTTCTCCGATATAAAATAGCTTTAAACTTTAACTTTAAAAAGTTAGTTATTTCCGTATTAAAGCTTATTAAACGAAATAGTTTAAAAAATATTTAAGACTGCATATTTTAATATGGAATAAACACAAATATTCTTTGAGGGTTCTATTGTTTTTATGTATAATACTTCGTTTTTGGAATTTGAGATAAATTTCTCGTCTGTTTTTTGCAGCCTTTTAATTTTGTTCACTTAATTGCTCAACGACCTTCGCTCATTCGTTGTTGTTGCTGCAGCTTGTTGCAGGTATTTGTTAATTATCTGTGAGCATCCCTTTCACACCTGAGTGCGTTTCCAATTGGATTGTGCTGAGCCGTGTATTAAGGTTTGGAACGGGAAAGAGTCTTCACTGCATGTACAGTTTGATGGCCATTGGATGAGGCGGTGTTAATTTGAAAAAGTTACCCTGGATTTCGTGGCGGCGGAACGACCTTGAACTTGTGGTAGCAACCACCCCAAAAGTGAGCCCACCGCCTCGGCAAAACAACAAGTGGAAATTGTGTTAGCTGGGTGAGCGTGCAGGAAAAATCGCTTGCAGGCCTCCATATTACGCCGCTCTTTTCAGTTTTTTTTTTTTTGAGCCTACGGCGTCCTTGGGACAGTGCGGCAAATTAA